CAGTTGCAAATTAGACCATCTAAAAAGAATGCCAGGGGTAGAGATGGTTCCTGAACCATCAAAGGGAACACATCTGGAAGGGTGTACTTAGCCAGGGATGTCTCAGCGATTGTGTCATGACCGTGAAAGGACACAAAAGTGCGGCTTAACTTTTAAATCGAACAGGATGCATGCAGTAAGTTGGGCTGCACAATATAGCCATTTCATTGTCTAGTTAATGCACATTTAACACATGTTTTTTTTCCATAGCTTCCTCAACAACTCAGATACCTGGACAATGGAGAGTAGCTCTGCATCTCAGTTATCATAAATGCCTTGTCTTCCCTCCTCTGTCGAACCGGAAGTAGTTCTGGTTCTGTCATAACCCGAATTGTTACGGATAGTTCCAAAACTAAGGACTAGGACGCATTGAAAGGAAAGGGCGCAAGAGTGGAAAGAACTGAGACGTAGCCATGGAGTTGGCTGATACACAGTCTGACTCCAGAAGGATTACAAAGACGATACAGTATTGGTGGCAAACCACTGGTAGCCATCAGACTGTCACACTAATAATGCAAAATGTTATCCCACCCAAATTGCTTTTTTTTTTTTTGCAAACCTTTTTGGAGGTTAATTGGCTTCACATCAGGTTTCATTAAATCTGGCCAAATATTCAAGGCAGCATGGTCTCAGTCTGAACGATTGTACAAAGATTTGTAGGGGTCTTTATGAGTGGAGTGGGTCTTCGGCCAGCACTAGTGGGGCCTCTCTATCTTCACTTCCAGTACTGCCAGGAGACAATGGTCTTGTTGGAATAGGGGGAAAGCTGAACGTAAGCTGAGAAAACTGTTACAGCAGCATTATTCATGTTCAGACAGGTAGTTGTATCAACTGAATGGTTTTTAAAACAGGAATTGTGGCCCAATTGCTGCTCAGGTGGATTTGTCTTGCAGATGATGTAGGTCTGATCGAGAGTTTTTCAATAAGTAAGACAAACAACTCAAACCTCCAGAATAAGAGCAAGTAAAGCCGTTTTCACAAAAGCTACAGATATTGACCTGGCTGTTCACGTATGCACCACCTCACAGCGGTGAGGCGGGGTTGGGGGGGGGGTCTCCTGAGGATGAGGCAACAGAGTCCTCCACAGGATGCTATAATGAGAATATTTGCCTTTATATCAATGCTACACGTAGTTCAACGGAATCACACTATCCCCACAAGAGCGGATAAGAACATACTAACAAACAGAAAACATAATGCATCGTAGCGGTGGCATGCATACACTCAGCACTGTGCAGCAGTCGCAGTATGCAACTGTCTCTCCCCTCTCTCATTGGCTCGAGGTGAATTCTCCTGCTGCATTCTCACATCAGCTCAATCAGACTTGCTGCGGGTAAAACAAAAACGAGGGGTCTGGCCAGAGAAACTCAGGGTGAAGTCAGAACATAAATGTGTCTGTTTGCATTCACACACAGCTCCTCCTGGAAATATCAGCAGTTTTCTGCAGGTGTGAAAAGCCCTACATGTAAAAGTCAGAACACAATCTGCATTGTCTGACCCTATTACTTATCAGAACATCTTAACAAATCCTGTCAATTGCAAAAGAGTGCTATAGGTTGGACACTTCACACAACGTTTATCTTACAGACGCTCCACACACAGTCATAAAACTCATCCATGGCTATCTTCAAGGAATGTTCAACCGTTTACAGCTCTGTAGAAATAATAAACAAAAGCGCACCTACGCTCAGAGAAACAAAGACAACTCACAGGACTGAATTAAACCTAGTTATCCCGAAACCTCTTGCAGTTCAATTACACAGTGACCCTGTGGGTTTGTCAGCACCCGGGCTCCACCAGTCTCCGTCACAGTGTGTCCGGAATAATGGCCACCCCCCTCAGCCTGCTGACCCCATGCCGTGTCCCTGGGTTTGTGGGGAAACAAGGGGAGAAAAACCCCTTTCTACTCAATTACCCCTGCCGCCCTCGGCCACCAAGCAAACACAAAGGAATCGGGCTTCATTAAAACCATCTCAGCCAGGGACTCATCAAACCAGCTAATTTATCACAACCAGCCACGTTTGAGTGAGATGCACTGTAGGGACACAGGACACACACACACACACACACACACACACACACTGGTGGACGGTTTCCAGATCCAGCCCTAAGGAAAAATAGGCATCTCTCACATGGACTTACATTACACACTTACACATTTTATGTCAACCATGTGTGTGTGTGTGTGTGTGTGGGTGGATTTGAAGAAACTTGACAGCAACTCCAATATAGTCCCTTAAGGCAATATGCAACTTCGACAGTCGAATGCATTTGTATGTGTGTGTGTGTGTGTGTGTGTGTGTGTGTGTGTGTGTGTGTGTGTGTGTGTGTGTGTGTGTTAATGCAAATGAAACAAGGGAAAGAGGGTAGAGGGGGAAACATGAATGCAGTACCCGCCAGGCGATAGGGATTTGGGGAGAAGGACAGGAAGAGGAAGGAGTGAAAGAAAGGTAGAGATGCTGCCTAGGGCCCCACACATCAGACAGACATTATAGACTATACGGGAGGTGGGGGTGAGGAGGAGGAGGAGGAGGAGGGGGAGGTAAAGAGAGAGAGAAAAAAGGGTGGTGGAAGAACATTCGAGTTTACTACTTATTAGTGTAAAACCAAAAACGGCCATTTAAGAGTAGCCTAGCCTATGTAATAGAAAAAAAGGGAAATAAAAAAAACAGAGTATGATGTCCTCTGTTATTTTTAGACGAGGAAAATGAAGCCATCGGTCGTGGCATGCAGGCAGCAAACACCTTGGTACAAAGCAGTGATTTAGCAGAGGTGTCAAAGTGACTCTTTTCAAAGCGCCGCATTGTTGGTGAACGACTCGGTCAAACACACGTAATAAAATACACCTTAGATTAAGCGTTGACCGTCCTGCTTAGCTTTCTTTCCAACACTTGATATATTTCAACATGCAGCCATTTAAACGTAGACACCTACAACAAACTTTGAGCGTTTAAGGCTCCTCGTTATTGTCTGCATTTCAACAAAGACAAACGTGAGCCGTCAAGATGATAAAAGTTAAAAAAATATATATATATAAAAACTTACCAATTAATCCGCCGACCATGAAGGCAAACGCTTGGAACAAAAGCAGAGTAACTCCCACTATCACCAACTTTTTGGTGCTCATATTTTCAATAATAGCCCCCGCCATTGCGAAGGAAAGGTCGGCGCAAGGAAATATCAAAACGAGCGAGAAACAAACAATAATGTGGAAAAGAGACGAAAACGACGCATCAACGACAAGAAGGAAGGGAAGCTGGGCCCCCTCCACCGCTCTGCTCCAGCCTTTTCAACTTCGAAGGAGGAAAGAAAGAAAAAAAAAAAAAAAGCAGGAGTCACATGACCGAATAGCACTCAGCTTTATCCCCCGAACAGCCAACACCAGACCGGGGAAAGGTCTGTGGAGCGCCACCGCATTGCAATAGAGGCTGCTAATGCAGGTTACCGAGCCACTCACTGCTTGTCATAGCGCCCCTGTTGTGCGGGGAAAGCTGCAGCCTCCAAGGGCTATTTAAAGGACGATTTTAGAGGTCCTGCTTCATGTTTAGTGTCCGATAACCGTCAAACACATTGTTCTTCAAATTCTAATTTAGTTTGAGTACAACAGGAGATATGAAACTTGTTTTTTTGTCATCTGCAACAACAACAACAACAACACACAAATAACACATAGCCTATAATAAAATAAAATGCTCTATGAAGTGATAAACGTGGCCTACTAATATACTCTCTCGGAGAAAGTGTTTACCCTGCTATAGGGAAGGTAAAGTAGCCCACACATTTATGGAACTGGATATTTCAGAATATTGCTTAAAATTAGCCAACTATAGGCCTACATTGTAATTGATGCATCAATGTTTGTATCACTTTAATTATCAAGCTGGTTAAGGTGGAGTTTCATTTTCCAAATATAATTAGTATTATTTATTTATTGGTTACATTTTGAATTAATTATCCTAATTAACCATTGAATTGTACTAAAGAAGTTGGCCTTTAGAGATGCAGATCATGGAGATAGGCCTACTATGGTGATGAACAAGTAGCCTATAGATAAAAATAATTTCTTGATTAGGCCAAAATGAAGCTACCTTTTACTTTTCAACACAGTCGGAACTGGTATTGGGACTTATTTTTCCAAGTTAAGAGATCTAATGGAGGAAAAATGTCCTTAACTCTTCTTGGATTTTGACAATAACATTGTTACCACAAGTTCAGTTTAATAGGCCTATAGACTGAAACTGTATCAAAATACTTGAACATCCCCAAATTTATCAGCAAATTGCCATGTTTCAAGAAACAGTCCCAAGATGTTCCCATTTGAATTTGTTGTGCACTTTAAAGCCCTGTTAGCCACATTGGTTCAAAAGCTGAGGAGCATTCATTATCAGTGGAAAAACATCTGGATGTAGGGTGCAGAAAAAGGCCTAGTTGCTGAGATGTTTTCAGTCATATACTGTACATGATCCTCATCAGGTTGAGTTTTTTCTAGTTGTTATGGACCTGCTCAGAAAGCTGTCCCTTTCAGTAGTGTTGCAGGGACCACTTAGAATAGATCACAGGATGTTGATGGGCTTCAACTGAGTTTGTACTTATAAGAACACAAATTACACAATGCTTAATGTCTGAATACACACAGTGACTACGGGATAGACATTTTCAGGCTGTAAATGTGGCTGCTGTTTCTTCTCTAAGAAACCGGTGTGCCGGCACATCCTTAAAGACAGCACAGATGCGAGCTGAGCTTTCATGTCTTCTTCCTGCTTTAGACAGCTGCTGCGAGCTGCACCGAGATCCCCGTCTCTCCTCCCGGGAGAGGTGAGAGGAACTCGATGAGAGCTGGCTGACAGTTTCTGTAAGTTTGAGTTGAAGTATAAATCCAGGGGTTTCAGAATAAGCACAGATTTAGGACTAATCTCATGAATGTATTCCTTAGTGTTGAAAATGATCACTCAAAATACAGGTTTAAAATACTGGGAGTTTTATTTAAAAGCCATCCATGTGAGCATTTCAGGGTTGACACAACTGACACATGTACAAACCAAAGAATACATTTTAAAATTCACAAGCACAGAAAAGGATAAAAACAATGCAGCATGCAACTTCTACAGTATGTGTACATCATTCGAGTACCATGGGCAAACAATAAGTGCAGTATGGTGTTTTTACTTAAGGTTCATTATGGCAGGGGTGGGTACAGATAGGAGAGCATGGTGATGTTTTCTGAGCACTAGCAGTGAAAGAGAGCAGAGATAAACAGGATATCTCCAGATATGGCTTCAATTTCTGTGTTCTATTTTTGTTTGATGCTTGGATGAATATGTGAAAGGGAGAAGCTGATGGATGCAACAGATCAATGAACCACTTCTGACTATTTAAGATACTGTTCAACAGAAAGTCATTTGACTTATGCAATGATGCGTTCCTGAATTTGTAGTCTGTTGCACTGCAATGTATGCAAGGCAAAGAGGCAGCCATTCAACTGGATAACAGTGATTACATTTTGGCACTTAGGGATTGGAGTTAAGATAAAAACAAAAGGGCAGTAAGTGCAGGTAAAACCTGGGAGAAAAACAGCCTGAGGAGTCAGGTGTGTTTAGAAGCGGGCACGGATTCTTTCCAGCGGATCTGTCTCCCACATCTTGGGATCCCAGGCCTGGAACCAGCCAGTGAAAGTCGGGGGCTCTGCTCCCTGTTTGATGGTGGTGATGGGCAGTCCTTTGCGACCAGATGGGTCGGAGTCCACGTATTCTTTAGCTGCATGACAGGAAGATAGATAAAGGAATTGTTTGACAACAACAGGACATGTACAACAAACGTAACACAATTACTGAGAACAAACATTTTATAAATAAAATCTATTTCTGCTTTTTTTTTTTGCACACTTGTCTGTCAAGAAGGGAATGACAAATTAAGGGTTAGTTTTTATGAACATATAAAAACAGTGGCCTTTTAAAAATCCAGCAGAAACAGATTTCATAAATGTTTCAAACATGTCCTTTCTTTATCCCACGAGGGAGGATCAATTTTACAATCTGTTGTCAAACATGCTACACACACAGGCTGAACACATGCACAAACAGGATCTCATGGACATGCACTCATGGAGAGATGTCAGAGTGACGGGGGCTGCCCACAGTCATCGTTCCTAAGCTGGTGTGGCTTTGGTGCCTTGCTCAAGGGCACCTCTCTGAAAGTGCACTGGCACCTCTCAGCTGCCAGACCAAATTCACAGACTTGGTCTGCACTGGAACTTGAACCCAGGGACCCTCTAATCCCCAAACCAAGTCCCTAAAGACTGAGCTAGCTAGAACTGTTCAAACATTAAGCCAATGATTTCACTTTTTTCTTAATTTCTGAAATAACTGTGTTAAACATTTTTGGCTCTACATGGATTTACCTTTTTAAAGCTTTTAAAACTTGAAGTTGGTTTAGATGTGTCTCTGTCCACATCTGTCAATCATGGGATCCATATTAATGTTTTCCTTATTCTATGTATCCCTTTTTTCCAATATTTCACTATCACTTTCTTGACCTTTCATTTCTAAATAAAAACCTGACTTTCAGCACCTGTCCATGTTTTAACCCCGGTGTTGAACGCTAAAGCAGTATGAAATGTATCAAAGTGTCCTAAAAGCCTGATTTAAGGGTAGGAGTAATGATTACTCAACATAAACGACAAGTTTGACCGACACACAGAAGCATCCTGAATTGTGGCCGCCAACTGCACAGTACAAAAGAACAAAGGATTTGACTAAACTTGAAATATATAATCTGTGATGATAATGGACTCTGTTTACCATATCGTACCTTTCAGTATTGAAGGCTAGTGGAAGTGCACTAAACACAGTTGATGACAGTAAAGTGCTTTCCGGCAGCAAGTATCTACAGCTGGACAATCTGATCTGAGAGGCACATTTGTTCTTTTCTGTAGGGTTTAATGCAACAAACCTATTTTGGGAGCTCCAGTCCTTTCCTCTGCATTAGCATCGTTTCCAACCCAAAGGAAGATCTACAGGAAAGACGGATACACTTAGTCACTCAACCTGTACAGATCATTTGAAGTTCTTTTAACTGGTTCATTTAAGTCTCTAATTTCCAAGAGGATATTTCACACAATAAATATGTTTTTGCAAGATCTTCTGATGATCATAAGAGAGTTTATCTCACCTGGTCCCAGGTATCCAGGAGCATGACATCATCAGTGGCCAGATCTGACTGAGTGAAGTCTCCTGGTACCTCTTCAACCTGACACAGAAGAAAACTCAGGCTGACTGTGTATAGATTATCTTATATTTCAGTAGCCTATAAACGCATTACTGTGTATGTGGCATAAAGCAGATCATTTGTCCCAGATCTGCACTAAATAAACTTCCTTAATCAAAACAAACCCTACTCTTATCATATCTATCTGTGTGACTTACGCTCAGTCTTCCTGTTTTGTTGGAGCAGCCAAACAGACGTGGAGGGCGGACCATGTTCTGCAGACTCTTGGAGGTCTGATACTCCTTCTTACCTCCAAGAGCGGACCAGAAATCACCTGTGAGGGAAAATAACATCAAGGCAAAGCTATTAACCCCATGTACTTTGTCCCATGTTTGGTGGTTTCTTTTCATTTGAACAGAAAGTCAATCACATTCACCGCCTAGGTTGTTACAGCTGCTAATGTGTATGCACTTTACATACATTATAATGATATACATTACTTTGTCTTCATAGGTCACTCACCTGGCTCCTTGCCCTCTGACACTTGGCTGGCACTGCCCCCCAGGAAGCCCACCACATGTTTGGCAGCCTCCATCTCCTCATCACTGGCACCAACGCCTCGCCAAACAAACAAGGCGCTCGGGGATTTCAGAACAAACACATCGTTGGTGTTCAGACTGGATGCAGTGGCCCCCGCCTACATACAAACATGCAGACCGGTGAGAGATGGAAATCACAAATCTCTATAGTCACAGTGTCCTGCAGGCACATCATCTCACCTCTACAGCCCGGGTGGCGCGGGAGGAGCTCTGCCGGATGTGAAAAAGGCGGGTGCTGGCAGATTGTGACTGTCCACCTTTACGTGACGTTCCTCCGCTGTGGATGATCATGGGTTTGCCCTGAAACAGACTCATGAGGTGTGGAGGCTCCAGGCCCTGAGTCACTCTCACCTGAGGAGGAAGTCATTAAAAAGTTCATTATTGTGGCTCTTGAAACATTTTTTTGGCCTAAACATTCAAAATATATATATATATATATCTGTATTTAAATGATGTTTGATTCTGGCATCACCTATGCAGAGCCTCTTGGTTTACACCTTTTTCTGTTGACTGAAAATCAATTCCTACTTTAGTACTCCAGATGCGGCGTCCATTCCAACATAACTTTGTTGTCAGAATAATTAAAGCATTGAATTTCGACAATTAAAGTAAGCTTAAATAAAAAGTCACAACAAAAAATACAACTTGGACATATAAAAGAAGTTATGATGTTCACTGTGATGAGTCAAACACATATCTCAAACAAACTATAACAAATCTGTACCATATAGAATTGAATTGGAAACAATGGATGTCTGAAATTGAAGCCAAATTGCATTTTTTAAATAAAGCAGCAGGGGCCATGAATGTTACCTGGTTTAAAGTACATAGTTTTTATACATACAAAACCTTCTGCAAGGCATTTTAAGGGGAAACTATCAATGTGAGTTAGGGCATACTTTTTTTTATATGTTTTTAAAGTTTTACCAGTTTTCACAATGAGTTACTGGCATAAAAAGATCAACCAGGAAATAAGATAATTTCCCAGCATTTGTTGGCTGACTGAAACCAATATGTGTTTTTTGTTTTATGAAGTGCTTTGGGTTGAGTGGAGTGGAACCACAATGAACAGTACAGTGACACTGCCCTCTGCTGGTTGTTTGAGGTTTGTTGTTTTCAGGGCAAAAGAGCCATTTTTTTTTTGTCCGCTGTGCTTCTCCGTTATTATTACTTGAAATAAATTTAGGAAAATCAACCTTAATATTTGGTTTTCAACATTGGTGATATCAAGAAATGACATGCTTGAGCTACTGGACTAATCGTACATGGAAACTTTAATGACTAATTTTTACATCTTCAGTAAAACTTGAATGAGGAAGAAGGCAAATTTGAAGCTTTTATGTCAAAGTGGCTACCTCTTCATTTCTTCCACAATCTTTGTCTTCTGCTCAGAATATTTGTGGTACGGTACTTGTGTTTATTCATGCCAGCTTCTAGAAAATAAAACTAAAATAACCCCTTTTAACAATGTTTATCATTCCTTTAATACTCTTGAGTCCAAGTCAAGGTTGATTTTGATTTTTTTCAGGGATTAAAATGACACTGTACAGAATCTGAGCTTGTTTTTATACGTGACATTAAGGCGATCAGTGCGTCAGTGTCGAGCTCTAACCTGAACCGGGGATCCGCCCATTGAGTCATCGAGCTTCACTGTGAGGAAGGCAGAGGCGGCCAGTTCATCCTGCGTGCACTTCAGCCCCTGCCTGACACAGTCACACACAAACAGTCTGTCATTTACAGATCTATAAGTCAGCTTAGACTGGGCGTGGTGGGGTAAAGTGTGTACATGCTCGCTGCTCCATCTGGTAATTCACACTGTATTACACAAAGTACACAGTACACATGTTTGTGCAGATCTCTCACCAGGTGTAGATGATGTGCTGCTCCCGGCTCCCCTGTCTGTAGCTGTAAAGGATGAGGTAACAGTCTCCACCGTAGAAGTGACCGTAATGGGAGGGATCAACAGGAACCCTGTCGCCGTTCTCAACACGCCAGATCTAAAAACCAGACCACATTCTGTTTTCCCCCGCCTTACTGCAACATTTTCTCTATACAGACTTTTTTAAAACCTTCATATTTCCCTCGTACCTGGACTTTGCCCTTTCCATCATCCACCATGCCGTGTTGTGCTGCCATGGCTTTGTTGGAGTGCAGGGTGGAGGCATCAAAGGGAACCTGTTCCACTTTGGCTATGCGACCGATGGTGAAGGCCTTACTGGGACCGGTCGTCTCGTCTTTGTCCTTCCAGTCGCAGAAGAATTGCTTAAACAGAGTGGTCTCAGCTCCTGCAGGAAGCACTTGGATCTGCAAAAAAAAGGGATTGTAACCTCTGTTTAATGATGTGCAATCTTGTCATGAAGACTCCAGTAATGAGACTAATTCTGCATAAACAAAAAGCAGCTTTTCTATAATGGTTGAGTTAGAGTGATAATGCATTGGTCAGTTCTACCTGTGTCTTGTTGGAATAGCCCTTGTCTTTGATGAACTTCTGACCTGCTGACATGGCTGCTTTGCGCTCTGACATGTTGGCCTTGGGACCTACATGGAGCCAGAAAAGACTTGAGGTGATGAGACGTTCATAATTCTCTACAAACACATCAAGTTATCTTTGCTGTTGGTGAAGCTGTTGGTACCTTTCCAAACAAAAATGTTCTTGTCCACCCCGTTGTCCAGGATGTAGCACTCCTCCAGAGACAGCATGGCCTGTTTGAAAGGACTGGATGGAGCCACAGCTGACACCTTCATTGATCCGGATGCATCAGAGATCTACGAACAGAAGAGACAGCATCATGAACCAGCTCTGTTGTTAAGGGCGGACAGTTCAGTGAGAACATCCACATCATTCAAACACTTTTATTTGTTATAGGTTTTTCAACCATAAGAACCATATTTATCATTGTAGAATGATGTAGTGTCATTTTTGTCAAGTGAACTTCAATCAAGGATAACCAATTAGAGGTTTATCTTTTCATGCATACCTCAGAGTTGAACTTCATAGTAAAAAATCCTGTTCAGTGATTTATAAATCAATGTATTATTCAAAAGTTCAAAGTGTTTATCGTTAAGAACCATAAGGACCGGATTCAGCTCGTAATATGCAAACTACTCAATTTTCCCCTTTAGCCTTGTGAAATATCAATTTAAAGTCTGAGTATGAATTTTCCTTTCCACCAAGATGTCAAAGTTACATTAACACTTGATGGACATTTGATTAAGCACACTTTTTAGTTATCCTTAAACAAAAGCTCTGCAATTATTTTTACTTTTACCAAGGTTCTCATTTTTTCCATTACGTTCACGCTGACAACAAATTAAACATTCTTCTTCATGTTTGTTAACGGTGTAGTAGTGGGTGGTGGTGTTTTACTGGAGTGCATTATATAAAAAGTTGTGCTTTGAATACTCTTTCCCTCTAATTTATGTTCCTGGGGTGGATAACAATGAAGAACATCTCTCTCACAATAATGTGATCAACTTTCATGACACTGCATATTATCAACACTTAAATCAACTCCTCTGTGACAGAGTCAATAAAAACTGAGTCTCATCAATTTGTAAAGGCAGAGTTAACGGGCCGAGCTTTTGTTTTTATAAGCTGTTATTGAGTGTAATTGTTCATTTCATTACCATGTAGAGGGCGCCCTTCTTCTTGTTGGAGGTGTCTACCTTCTCATCGTCCTGGGAACCAGGGGCAATGTTTGGCTTGGGCCCCAGAGCCTGAAGAGCAAAAGGAATGAGTTATAGGGCTCCTTCATTTGTATTAATTATCATCACAAGCACATAAAAATACATTTATTTTGCAGACTTTGCTCTACAACTTCTATCTGATTCAAAACTGACAGAAAGTTGATTCAAAATTGACTGAATGAATTATGTCATCTAGGACCCTTCCCCCTCCCCTCTCGCTCTCTATCTCTCTCTCTCTTGTTCTCCCTCTTTCTCTCTCTCACTCTCTCTTTCTCTCTCTCACTCTCTCTCTCTCTGTCTCTCTCTCTCATGAAGCCTCTCTGGAGTTTACACTCCTCTCGTGTTGTAAAGGAAAAGTTTTCAATGCTGCTTTGGCACATAGTTGGCACAAGTGCAGGCCATCACAAAGGAACACATTGTGTCCACTCGTTCCCACGCTGACTAACTCAGCCGCCGTGAAATGCATCATAAACTATCATAGTTCTTATAAGCCGTCACCCTTGTGGTGAAAACTTCAGAACATGGCCGAGATTCAGCAGGAGGGCGGTAAGTTAGCGATGTGAAGTCAAGTATGAGAAGATGTGTGTGATTGTGTGTCACCTGTATGATTGCTTCCGGCTCTTCCCCCTCGTTCACTACATGCAGTTTAGCTCGGCCGTTTCTCTCGTTATCCCTGATGTCGATGGTGACCTGAGCAGCCTTTAACTTCTCAAAACGGTTACACTCACTGCCGCACCACTGATACACATCCTGCAGGAGAGGAAAAGACAGAGAACGGATATTAAATAGAAATCCGAAAGATTGAAGTCCACCCTGATTTTGATGACAAATGTGATTACTCGGGTATAACAGAAGAGCGTCTGATGCATCTATTGACAGAGCAGCGCAAAAAACCCAACTATTTAATGAAGAAAAAATGATCATGATCAGCTATAGAAGAGAACTAGCAGGAAGTTTGTTTTACATAAATTAAGGCTGTGTTATTGGGAGCCCCTCATGCTTGGGTAGGGAGCTGGAATTCAGCCCTCTAATGGTGGCCCGAACAAGCAACAATGAATATGACTCTATAGAGAGGTAATGATTGGATGTCAAAAAACATTTAAAAAATGTGAGACCATATATGCCGAGGAAAAAAAAATCTTTATCTTACTATCTTACTTTAAAGCTCCTGTGGGGAGTTTTCAGCTGGTTATGAAACAGACTGAAATTAACACTGCTGCCTTTTTATGACCTACAAACTTATCATTTAAGACCAGAAGCATTTATATCAACTTCCTTCTTATAAATCTTTCTAATGCATGCAAAACCCTGGGGAGGGTAGGTGTCAGTCAGGAACTGCATGCACACAAAAACCTTTTGTTTACATTCTGACACAAACTCTGGATCGGTGATACATTTGACTGTTAAATTAAAGAAGGGGAAGATTATTTTTTTTTAGATTACTATCAATACATGGTGAGGACAAAATCAGCAAAGAGATAAAAGGTACTGCTCTATCAACAGGGAGGACTGAAATTGACACCTTAGTTCTTCACAGGAGCTTTAAGAAGGACGCTTTAACTCTTTCAATTAGCTATGATGGACGTATCATTATAACAGACATTGGTAATACAGTATCTGATTTAAGCTGGCCGACCTTGCCCAGATCAATAATGAAGCAGTCTCCTTTGTTGAAGCTGGACCAGGACATGTCCACCTCTGTGGCTCTGATGGCCCTGCGACCCTTGATGTGCAGCAGGCGCTTCACGTTCATGTCGTTGGTCACCACGTGCTGGAAACCTGAGGCCACACCCCCTTTCTGTGACCCAAAAAAAAGATCAGTTAAGTGAGGTTCTTTACTGGGAAGACTTTACTAAACTCTCAGCTACATTTGATATGTGCATGTGTAAAGTTAGAAGAAAAAAATAGCTTTTTCCACACTGTGCCTTATACAATCACTATATGTCAGCCAAATATTTAACATGAATGAACCACAGGGAGGTTTGAGGCAGGATGTTTGGGAAAAGAGGATTTTACAACACACAGAGCTCCACATTTGCAGCACAGTGAGGGTGGAATGAGGTTTACACAACACCATAAAACTTCAATGGGCCCAAGACTGTAAATGTGTCTTCCAGATAATAAACTTTACATGTAGGATCCTACAAAGCACAGTAAACAAAGCCAGCAAAGCTGATCGAATGATACCAACATGATGCCTACTTCTGCAAAGGAGGATCATGTCTGTTCTGTTAAACAGTCTGGTACCTTGGGGGCAGGGTTTTCTCGCAATGTGCCGTCCTTGGTGAAGCCAGTAAACAAAATAGGTTTTTTAAAAGACATGCAAATGCAGCACAGAAAATAAGAAACAGATGCACTTTCTGCTGGAGAAACAAGCAATGCGACTGCACTGATAGATGAAGCTTGAGGGGCTTTTTAAGCCGTTGAAACTTAAGTTGAGATAAAGCCATGTAGCTTCATATGAATGAACACTAACCAAGAGGGACTTCCTTGTTCTTATAATTTCTGCTGAGGGTTTAGCATTTACCCACAGAGTCTGCTTAGCATCTGGATGAGCGGCTTTTAATGAGGCTCCAAAATAGAAACCACATTTATGCTGTCTGTGCTTTTCTCAAGACAGAGACACTAAAACTTTCCACTGCAACAATACAAGCTCTGTTTATTCTAATGGAAGGACTGTTTCACCAAAACTATGAAGCGATAATTTGGTTTAGTTTTGCCTGTTTTCTGAAGAACACAGTGTACATTTGAGAGTGTGTGTATGTGAGCTGTGATTCTGCACATGTGTTTCCATGCTCAAAGTTTGCAAAACGCAGTAAACAGGAATTTGGAATAATTATAGCAAACTAAAGCCAGAAGGGGTTTGGATGGCTTTCATTTAAATGAGAAACAGACGGCTGGTAAAAGAAAAAAGACAGAGTGGTCTGGCTCATGTCTTCTAAAATGTCCCTCACTGAGCAGGCGTGGTTGCCCGGGTTACAGTCAGTCAGTCAGTCAGTCAGACACACCCTGAGAGTGCAGTGCGGGTAATGTTGATCTTCCTCTGAACTTCAGACTCATTACCTTCACTCTTTGGCAAATTGCACTGACTGCTGACAATCATTAAACACTGGAGATTAGTTTAAAGAAACTTCAAACAGAGTTAGTTGCTCCTTAGTATGTTTTGTGTCACCAGAACTTCCACTGTTAATTCTGTAAAGTGTACTTGTTTTATATTCATGAACCTCAGCCTGAAGACACAAGTGTCATTGCCTCTGCTCTTATTCATGGAGTCATTATCTAGAGAAATTGTCCCCAACCCTTTTTTCCTCTAAACCTTCAAAACACAAAAATGTCCTCTTGTGACCGCTGGTAAGCACTTGTTAACATGCAAGATGTGAGAAACTTAATCAAAACATGCGACTTTCTCTTCTCAAACTGTTTCTTTTTAACATGTAAGGGCCTTACTATGTACACCTGTATAGTAATTTCAACAAAATAAGGCTTAAGCCATGCTAGCAGCAGCTTCATAAGGAAATACTTTAGCTAACATGCTAGCATATTCACAATGAGAATACTAACATCATAGTCCTTGGTGTGTCTATGTTTAAGTTATAAACTAACTTTGTTTGACAAGTAAGCATCCCAATATGAGTGCTCCTTAAATACTAGGACATGCAGGAATTTAATTATTAAAGTATTGGACAAAAACAAACTTCACTTGATATAAAGGCGATGAAGACTAGTGAACATAGTGTTGTGTGTTAGCATGCTAACATTTTTTTAATTAGCCATGTATGAACCATAGGAGTTTGGAATTTGGTTTACAAAGTGTTGGACAAATCTGCTGTGATGTGATGGAGCTAAATGAAAGTTAAGGGATATTCAGAGGTTTGACGACTTGATGAAAAATGTCACGTTCGTCTAAAAGTTCAGGTATTTCAGTGCTAAACTAAACTTAAGTGGTGGAAGTGGTGGACTGACCCACAGGTGTCCACAGTGTCATACCACATTATGGCTAGAAAGCACAGATAAGAGATCATTTAAAATAATTACAACATTTTATGCAGCGAACATTTATTTCTGAACCGGATTGGGAACCTGGTGTCAACAGTGACACCAGCTGTCTGACGGTCTCTCTGTTGTTCAGTGAAGCTCACCTGGTACTTGATTCCTGATCTGAAGTACCCCAAAAAGGTGGTTGATTCACTGTTCTGCACCTCCCTGTACTGCACAGGACCGCCACCCAGGAAGTCATCCAGCTGAGAGGAAAAGATGGCAGCCGCTCCACTCTCATCTTGAGAACACTCGTCCCCTGCATAAAAAGAGACATTTTCAGCCTTTAAAAAAAATAAAATGTAAACTCAAACTATTTCACAGCAAGACTAGAGTATTACGTTTCTCTCACAATATGATCAGCGAAAACTGCAGCACTTAAGTTTCTTCAGTGACCTGATGGGACCTGTGAGTAATGACTGGAGAGTTTGAATCACTTAAACCACATCTGCAGCAGAGGAGCTTTGTATCCTGTTATTACCATCAGATGGCACACAACATGGATAAAACTATTCCATTGCTGTGCATGACTAACATCGATCCCAGACACAGGGATTTATGACATCCTCCTGTTGTTTCTGCTGCAACATCTCAAAGAGGATTTCAGTGGATGTTTCAACAAAAAGGATTGGTTTGTGTGCCTGTTGAATAATAGTGGCAGGAAAAACTACAAACATGCCATTGCCTGTGTCTGTGGCCTGTGGGGGTTTTCCAGATGTGAGTCATGCGGTGGTTCCTTTAAGGTCTCTGTTATGGTTATGTCACTAAAGCTTTACAGAGCATGGGAACAACATTCAAGTTTAAAACAGTAACTCGTGTTTGTTCTGTATTGCCATGAAGTGAGTCAGACAGCCCAAGGAAGGAGCTGGGAGGAGGAGAGGAATTTCACAAGCTAGTGTGACTTTAAGTGGAAAATAATTCAACGTCTCATGCTGCAGATGATGTTCATGCACTCAGCTTCAACAGGTTTGAAGTAAATAAATCAATCAAATGTAAATATCACAGCTATAGAGCAAGGTAATGACATGAGGAAGCTGCACTGTCTCTGCTAGTCGTGAAATAGCTAAAGACCTTTTAGGTTTAAGTTTCAGTACCATTTTCACAAGAAATATTTAGACTCTGGTTCTAACTAACTTCAATAAGGAACTGATCCCCATTGTTATTTTATCTTTCTTTTATACAGAAGTATATTTCTGTCAACCCAATATGATAAGATAAAGAAAATGCATTGGTATCATAAAATGTGAAAGGTTAATCATTGAAAGATTTTTCCGGGTGATGTCAAGATATTTTCAAGTTTTTGTGACTTACAAATGTATCATGTAAGAACAGGAAAGCTATTCAAGTTTTTTCATGATCTCAACATTCGAGCAAAAACCTTGCAAAAACCCAAAAACTTTTCGTGAAAGAAACTACACTTTTGTTCTTTTGACTTCATGATCTAGTACAGTGGCTCTCAACTGATGGATCTGGGTAATAAAGTGTCAAAAAGTCTATGAAGCACTCTTACAACATGTTGGTTTTGTTCCTTCTCTTTGTTCTGTCACAAGTTCTGTACCATCTGAGTCCAAACTGCACTACTTTTCATTCAATAAATCTGATTGGTTGGAAATATATCTGAATTGGGGTCACTGTTTTTACGAAGGAGTTGTGGGGGGGTCCTTAAGGTAGACCAGTTGAGAACCACTGATCTAGTACACTTTTGGAATTTACACAAGGGGGTCACTTAAAAAAATCTCATACACCCACTCAGACAAACAAAAAGAGATGACACCATGACAAAAGTATCTCTCAAGAGAAATATAATTATACATTAGAAAATTGCAGGGGGGAAAAATCAGTGCTAGCATAAGGGGAATTGCTGCAATAAATTTGTTCCATGCCAGAGTGTTTTCTAAAAAATGCTCTGCTAAGACTCTTCCAGTTTAGAGAACAGAATGATACTTAACAAGATAAGCTGCATGTTTAAAAAAAACAATCATACTGTCCTAATAGATTCATAGAGATGTGCTAAATTTGTGTGGATGTCTTACCCAGCCACATGTGTATGTTGTATGAAGGAGCTGCGGTGGTGGCGAGCAGCAGGTAGGCGTCCCCGGTGTAGAAGCTGCCATGCAGGGCTTTAGGAACCGGCTTCAGGTCCATGTTCTCGATACGCCACACCTGCAGGCCAGGCTGCTTCCCTGCAGTTGCAAACTCCCGATGAGAAACCATGATGGCTCTAGGATGAGATGAAAGGAAAGGAGAAGGAGAATAGATGTGAAGACCCAGGAGGTCAGAGGAAAAAAAGAGTTTTGATATTTTTTCGATTTGTAAACTTTGCTACAAAATCATAACCAAACTTTAGGACAGGCGCAGCGAACAAGAAACAAACACATAATAATGTGCATCATCTTGTGCTTCCTGAATATGATGTTTTTGCAGAGTTGTGGGTAACAGCTGACAGACACGAACCCACAGTGGTTATAAATACATGCGCTATCATGACAGAAGGCCTCTTACCGTACGTGGGTGTTCATTCTAAAGATCAAACCAGACAAACTAGTTCTTTAAAGCTGTAATTAAAAGTGCCATGTGCAGTATTGCTGCTGCTCACATCAGGAACTTGTTAAGATGCATTGATCATTGTGGTTTCTAAAGTTTCTTTATGGTATTTTCTCTGTGTCATAAGAAACAAAAACAATCCCCCTGGAGGGTTAGATGCTCTGTTTATGGTCATGCCAATGTCCAGTTAAACCTGTTAGCTGTGTAAAAATGCCTCCAAAAATGTAAATATGATTTCCATGTTCAGTACAAACTGCCACGTGAAGTTTTCAGAGATAAAAAGCATCTCATAAGATCTTCATTTTCTGGAAATAAAGCTCATAAGCGCCATAGCATTGTCGGATGTAAAGAATGTATTTTACTGACGAGAGATTGATGCACTTTGGACCTCTATCAGTGGATATTTAATCAGCTCTAACAATAAGCCTTCACAGGAGAGATAACCACTGACCTTTTAACACACATATTTAATAATTTTATAACTGATAACAAGATTAAACAAACCGTATCATCCTTGTGTTATTACTGCACCAGTTTTACAGTCGAGTGCTTCAACAAACCGTTTATAAAAATGTTGAGATTCTTTTTTAAAAGCTGGAACCATAATGAAAGTTAAGAGATTGTGCAGATTTTCCAGATTAAACAAGATTACAAGACAGATTACAAATCCCTGTAGAAGCAGGATTATCACTGCATCGAGGTTGACGTCGACTGATGACACAGGATGTGCAATGTGAACTTCCTCCCTCCTGCAATAGTTTACAGTTTTAAACTGTGATGGCCCTGTAACTAAAGCCTTCATTCTGTATTTATTAAAGATTGAAGTAAAAAACGTGATTTAATCAACAAAAATGACCTGCCATTCACACCAACTACAATAACACAAACAAACAGACAAACACACATCATCACCTGAAGGACTCATTTGTTTGTTCAGCTGTGAGTAAGTAGTATCAGGTTTCAGCCTGCAGAGAGAAAACCCTGCAGAGCACTTACTGTAACAGACTGATCAATAAATGCTGCATCATGGACAAAATGTTCAAATCACTTAAAGTTATGCTGGATTCCTGTCTGGAGCTTAATGCACTGTTTATAAAAGGGTGTGACACCATAGCAATCTATGACGCTGCAGATCTGTGTGCTTTAATGAGAGACCCAACCTCAGATTTTCTTCTGCTGACGGATGATAGGCTCCATTATGTTTCGTCTAATATGTGCATTTGTAAAATAATATACTTGCAATAAACTCAAAATCCTTGATGCATTCACGTCGCTGTCATTTGAGATAATATTAAGCCTACTCCTTACACACCTTTTTTTCTTTTTTTTCTTTTAGCCTATTACATCACAACCAAACTACAACTTCCTGCAGCACCCTCTATCGCAGGTTTTAACTTTAAAAAAAGAAATAAAAGCAGATGATAACAGAGATTTTCGCCCAGAATAAGCACAGACTTATTCTATGTTTTCACTTTTTTTCTTTTTTTTTCACGCTGCAGTTCCTCTCTCTGTTTTCGGCGCTTTCACAGGCTATGAGTCGAAGAGGAGAAATGACGGAGATTTTTCCACAACTGGAAATCCTCCGTTAACAAACTTAGCAGTCCTGAATGAACTGCTGAATGCATTTGCGACTGCATTTTCTCATATGATAATCTGCGCGATCCAATTTAAAAAGGCCTTATCATAAACGTGTTGGAAGGTCCAGAAAAGTGACCAAACGAGAGAAGAAACGTAAACTCACAGATTGAAGGATGAGTCACACAGGAGAGAGGAGCAGGAGCTGATGAAGGAGGCTGAAGATGAGGGAGTGAGCTGTGTATAGAGGAGATTTATGTTTTAATGTGAAATAGGCAACAGCAGGAGGAGGAGGAGGAGGAGTTAGGAAGAAGAGAATGGAGGCTGGTCTGTCTGAGGGCAATAGAGAGATCTGATTGGAGATGCTTCTGTAAGTGTCTTACAGAGGATTTCCTCAAAAATGCATCTTCAATGTGTTGAGCTAATTCAGGAATGAGCTATAATTTTCGTCTTTTGATTTCTGTTGTGCGTGAACTTGACGCTGTGCTTCTTGCTTTTTTAGTGTGCAAGTGTCAAAGTGCTCAGATAGGCAGGTACAAAGTTCATCAAGTCAGAGGATCCTCCTTAAGCAGCACTTGAATCTACAGTGTGTGTGTGTGTGTGTGTGTGTGTGTGTGTGTGTGTTTGTTTTAGCTCAAAAATTGTGTGACTCCAAAAATACCAGCAAGGGAAATGTGCCTCCCTTTGGTTTCCTGTAATGTACTGTGACCTTCATGACATAACAGACCGTGGCACAGCTGCACGGAAAAACTTTACGTTTTTAAGGAATTTCTTAAAACACATGCAGATTCAAACTTCAACGCTGCACAGAAGACACCACAAACATCAGCTGTGGATGCTAAATAAGATTGCCTTGTTTTACACACACAACAAACAGGGTATGGCTATTAAGTACAACTCTGCCCTTTGTTAGCACTCTGTACAGAACTTGCTGTGCAGCAAATCTCACTTCAAACCTGCAGGCATGCTCACACAGGTCAATCCTCTACTACCGTACTCTCACTGTCTCTTTCTGCGGGCAGTGTGTTTGTTTTTCCCTCAGGCCTGATCAGACATGGTGAGACCCATGGTTGTACAAACATAAACGTTAAGCACACATGGAGGACAGTGTGTAGCCCATATGCTGCAGAAAGTAAAACCAAACACAGACAGGAGCACCGGCATCAGGACCCTGTTTACCGCCTGCCCGTGAATCTCGACTGTCTTTTGGGCAATTTTTCAATTGAAATGGGTTTGTTGAAACAGATGTTTCACAAATGCAAGTTGCACTTTTGCAATATACAGCTTCTCCCTTCTGCTATCATCTGATGGACATAGCAGGCCACATGATGATGCGTCACTAAGAATATAAAAACAGCTGTTGCAGATGATTCTTCTTTTTCACTTTTAAAACAAGAAGTGAGTTGGGGAAATAAACTGTTTACGATGTGTTACGTCACAACATTTGTTCGGGAAACACTGGCTAAAAACCTCAGTAAAGTTAGCATTGCTCTTTATGGACTATACACTGGAGCAACTTACAGACATTATTGTGAAATTCGACCTGTTTGTGGTTCATTATGACTGCTTGTGATTTCAACTATAAACACGTGAGATCTGCCAATCCACATTTGTCGTATGTAACCAAACATTTCAATTAGATTTGACTGAAATATTCTTAAAAAGAGGATCGGTACTGTTATCTTTGTTTCACACTAGTCATCCATCCATTTCTGCGACTAACTTCCCATTTTATAAAACATTAGTAACAGTATTGTGGTAACAGCGTCCCTCTGAAATCGGCTGATAACAGTGGAGCCAGACCAAGGCTCAGGCTTATCTTCAAACAGGATGTCACAGTGGGCCGAATGGCTGTCTGCAGCCTCATTGTGCCACACGCTGAAAGCTGACTGATGCACATCCTCAGTGACAATACGACCAACACAAAATGGCTTAGATGCCTATAACCAGAGGCTTACACCATGTGGCATTCACTGGGGCAAATGAAGCAGAAAAAGTCCCTTTTTTCCCAAAGAACTATCAGGATGTCAAGTTTAACTTTACCAAATAACAAGTCATGTGTTGTTTTTCAGTGCTTAATGCTCGGTCAATCTTTTTGTATGTTAAAAACACACTTTAAGCAATAACTTGGCAAAAAGGCAAAATAATACCTCCAAGTATAAATCTGGTCCCTCATACATGTTTTTATCCTTTAAAGTAGCAAAAATGTATTCCAGACAAGCAAATATGTTTTAGTTATATACAAGCTGGTGATGATTAACATATAACATATACAACACTTTCTTTTATCATCCCCTTAAATCCCTAGCTAGCATTAAGTTGAAACCTTGCGAGTTTTCTTCACTTCTTAATGTAATGTAAGAAGTGGGTACTGCTAAACAACATCACTGTAAGCTAGTAAGTAGCATACGATAAAATGTCTGTTTGGTAGTTTTACATGTTAATATACTAAATTAAGTTCCTAGCTAGCATAATGTTAGTAAATTAGTAATAAATTTTATTCACAGCTAATGTCACATAAGCTAGGAAGTGGGGCTAGATATTATCACTGTTAGCTAGAATGTGTCATATAGTTAAAAAGCCATTTTTAAAAATTAATTAATTAATTTAAACTTTCCTCACAGCTGACACTTTTCATTAGGTTTGAAGTGGTTGAATGGTAATGTTAGCTGATGTCTAAGTGGCGTTAGCGTGATAATCAAGTTTGTTGTGTGGCTTGAAATATGGCCAATGTTCACCTAGTTGCTCATTAATCAAATCTAACTATTGTCAGATTCCCTAAATTGAATTAATTTGGAACACAGCACATGACATTATGATTAAAGCCAGAGGCGCTGCTTGTCAACAGGACAGGCAGGCAACTGCTTGGGGCCCCAGGCCAGTAGAGGGGCCCCTGACAGCTGACAAACTTTCAATCCAAAGCAGTGGCCCAAAAATGTGCAGATCTTGCAATGACAGTAAAAAAAAAAAAAAAACGCCCTAGTGGGCCCCATCTGACAGCACTTACTCCCTTTGCCCTGCTGAACGTTGCAGCATTATTGCTGGTAAAACCAAAGTTTGTCGATGGAAGTCAACAAAGAAAAATGAAGAGGAATGATATGAGAGACAACAGAAAACAGTAAATTACAGAATCAAACTGAAAGAGCCAACAAGGCAATAAAAACAGAAGAAAGATTTCTATATGCAAGTAAAAGACATCAAGCTGAGGTTATATACTGAACATGAAAGTTAAATGAAAAGACAAGAAACAAAACAAAGAGAAACTTTCGACTGTAAAGATTTAAATACTTTTTAGGACTGACAGTAAACACACTTGACTCCAAACAGGAATTATGGGGGTTGACCTACCAATGACTACAAGGGAAGAAAGCAAGCGTCTCTCTCTGTCCTCGGGTCATCATAAAACTGGTCACTAGGATACCCACTCCCACCCTTTCAGTATAAAGGTTTAGTTTAATGAGGGAAAGGTCAGAATCTGCTGGTGGTGATTGTGTAGTGGTGTGTGGGAGGGAGATGACCCTTCATCAGTGTCAGCCATTAGGGTCGTCTTTTATCAAGCTGAGTCAGAGTTCACGGCCCATCCTGATTAAACAGCACAACACTAAAAATAAAGTCAGTGAAAACTAAAGAATGAGAATTTTGATGACGAATGGAAACTTATTTAAACAAAAGCCAATTTCGTTTTTGTTTTCCTATTGACCCCATTATACAGTTTTCTTATTCATTTATTTATTTGGAACATTTGATTTTCATAGTTTTCATTTTGGATTATATTTTTCTATCTTGATTGTTTTTAATGGAATTTCTTCGTCCCACCTTGAATTTATTCTGCAATATTCCTATGAACATGAAGTTGTTGAGCATATCGATTCCATTAGAGTACTAAATGTCACAGTGGTGATAGAATCAGACGCTTAATTTAAATATCAACCTGAAAAAGGGAGTTGGTCACAGAGAATATATTCTGCTTTCTCAATTATAAATGTGATTCAAAGAGTCCTTGAAGAATAATATCAACAAAAACGAGGTATTGTCATGATTTTGTCTTATTTAGTTTTGTATTTCAGCATTTAGGTTCCCATGTTTTAATTTCTCCTGTTTATCCAAGTTTGATTGTTTCCCTTGTGTGTTTTTGTCCTAATGTTTCATAGTTTAGTCTTTAGTGTTTCGTGTGTTATTTTGTAACTTCGTACCCTGGTGTTTCTTCATGTTCTAGTGTTTTTTAGTTACTTTCTTGAGTTCTCTGTGTATCTTGGCGTTTCTTGATTTATGTTGTAGTTCTAGTCTCCAGTTTTTCTTGTCTTGTGTTTATTCCTGCCTCTGTGTGTTTTCCCTCCAGTGTGATTGCCCTCATTGTCTACACCTGTGTCATTAGTCACACCTGTGTTTGATTACGCTATGTCTATTTAGTCTCTGTGTTTCTTCACCCCTGGGTCAGTTCATTCTGTTATGGATTAAGAAAAACTAAGAGGCGGACCCAGATGCAGCTCTAATAAAAAATATTTATTTAAACAAAATGTACAAAGGCTAACACACAACTTACTAAAGCAGAAAACATGGGAACCTAAATGCTGAAATACAAAACTAAATAAGACCAAATCATGACAGGTATGAGTTGGTGTTTACTGTAGAGCTCAGCTTCTTCTTTTGAACAAGTTTGCCTTAAGTTTGCAGTATGAGGACATTTTTATCTGATCTTACAAGACTACCTGCAAATTGCAAAAACTGAATGTTGTGACACTGATGGTTACAGGTTTCTACCAGTGGAAAAAAAGACAAGTATAGACCTATTGATATTTCCAGGGATATCCAAATAACTGTTAATCCCACTGGGTGTGTGTGCAGTCAGTTAATGGATGCACACCTTTTCAGTGACTGTAAGGAAAGACACGTCACCTTAAATGCTATGAAGGGAGCTGTATTATCCACCAGACTGACCCCCAGAATAAAGACATTTAAAAGTGTAAAATAAGAATTTCATGCTGAAGTAGATGATTTCCATACTGGTTTGATTCCACTCCGTTGCACTGACTCAACATCCTGACATTACAACGAGCAAACAAGGACGCTGTGACTTTCATCGAACCATTATTACTTTATTGTTCAGCACAAACACTACTAAACACTGCCTGGCAGCATGATGCCAGCTGTGGTTACCTCGTGTGCCAGGCAGCTCGCTACCAAGTGTGTGTGCGCCAGTGTGGTTTACGTCTTCTTATCACCCACACCGAGCTCTGGTTTGTTGCACTGCAAACACCTTTGTGCCTTAAAGTGCTTCTTTGTGCAGACAATGCAGGAAAGTTCTACATTCGAACTCCCCATGATCTGGAAGGTCTAATCTCTGGTAAATCCAAACAAAGGTGTATCTTCAATATAAATAGCAGAATACCTACATTAAAATATTCCATAACTAAAGAGTAAACAGACAGTATGGTACATGGGGATCAATGTGGAGGATGATATGTTAGAGGGGATACAAAAAACTTAGCTTATTGAGCTTATATAATGGTGTAATAATTGTGTTCTCAAAAAAAGAGCCACATCAGTTGTTTTTGCACACTTTTACTACTTTCTTTACTACCCTCTGTCCATGCTATGTCATTTTTAAGTTACTGATCATTTGTGCATCACTTTATTTACTGTAGAGCTGTAAAAAAAAATAATAATAATAATAAAAGAAGAGATCATCTTCTATTGTTAAAATACTTTCTAAAGAGAAGGCCTAGTCGGGGACAGTGGGTTTTAACACTGCAGGCATGTGTTTGAAACCTCATCAGCTGCTTCCACACAAAAATAAGAATCTGTTCATTTTGCGCAAAACTTAATCCAGACTGCAGGGAGAGACAGACTGTACTGAGGAAGTTTGATGGAGGAACTATAGCAAAGCGACATGGCACGCAATAAACCACGGAGTAAACCACATCCTTTAAAGTAAGAAGCTTCTAGTCATACACAAACTAAGCAAGAGAGGGATCCTACAAATGGTTAAGTTACATTTTAAGCATCTGACCCCTGCTTCATGAGAGTTTAAGAGATGGCTGCTGATAGAAACGAATGCTGTCTGTCTCCTGTAGAAACACACACACACACACACACCCATAAATCCCTTTATAGCACAAACACACACAAACACAGAGAAAGCCTCATGCAACCATTGTAAGAGGCTAATGTAAATATGAACAGCCCCCTCATATGCAGACAGGAAATCTCTCACTGTGACATTTACACATCCAACAGGCCCACAGATGGTCTGCCTGCTAAAGCAAACACTTTATATGTTCTACAAAAAGAGATAAAACAACACAGCTGGGCTAATTATTGGAATAAGACTTCTTTTTTCAATGTTTAGCTATTTTCATGTGTGATAATTAAGTCGTCTTTTTCAAGGTCATTAGTCTGATTACTTAAAAGTAGAACCCGACCAATATAACATTTTCCAGGTCGATACCGATATAAGGAAGAGAACAAATCTGATGCCGATATATTGACCGATATCTTTTTTAGATGTACCTTCGATCTTTAGAGATAGCACAACCGCAAACACTTGTGGAAACGATCAACAGTATAATGAAGTCAAGACGGTCTCTTAACTGGAAAGTAAATGCGTATGTACGTGCATCACCGCTTGACACTGTGATAATAAGTGATAATACTTGTTGTAATCCATATAGCACACTCTGCTGCTGACAGCCAGAAAGAGAACTGCTGGTGTAAAATAAATAAAGTAATATCTGCGTTTGTCCTCAATAAAATTAGCTGATAGAGATAGTCACTTGATACGCTTATGCTATATATATATGTTATCAGCATATGTTATCGGCTGGCCGATTTATCGGTTAGGCTCTTCTTAAAGCATGGTGTGATGGTAAAACATGAATCAAATACTCTACTTTGATGTTAGCTTAGCCTATTATAATGTCTTCAAACTGTAACTAGCCTGGCTCTGACTAAAGATGAAAATATGCACCAAGGGGAAACACTGTTGCTCAATAATAACCACTTTTACCTTGTAGAAATCTTACAGAAACATGCAGAAAGTGTAAGAGCTACAGTTCAATGTATTACAAAGGGTGTAAAGAATTATTTTTTTGGCCGAGAGTTGTAACATCCTCGAGACTTTTAAGTCCTGTGAGTTTGGCCATCAACCAGAGACCACTTTAGAGTTATGTTCCTGTTTAACAGAGCTGGGCCTGTTGCCCCTCTTTTTTGTATGCTAAGCTAAGAAATGGCTAGCTAAAGCTCAAAATTGGGCTTATAATATTTAATAATAATACATTTTATTCATAAAGCGCTTTTCTGTTACTCAAAGACACTATATATTAGTAATAATGAAGGGGTATTGATCTTACTGCTCGTGATAAAAGTCAACTAAATAGGTTGGCTTTCTTTCTTTTCATCTGCAAACCTGTGAGCTCATTCAAATAAATACACTTTGATGAGTAACTTTTCTGATGTCCATGTTGTGTAATCAACAATGAGAGTGCCAAATCCACTCTAGCCAGCTTGAGTCTGCATTAGACTCAGCATGAACTCCACCAGGTCCTTAGCCAAGAACTCTTGTCCAGGAGCTGCCAGTTGTTCTGGTAACTGGAGCCCTCAGACTCCAGCAGCATGAGAACATTTAAACAGATGTTGGTGAAAGACGGGCTTTCCAACTCTCTGGAGAATAACTAAGAAAGTCAGTGGAAGACGAATGAAAACACAAAAAAAGGGAAAAACTCTTGTAGGAAAAAAACAATTTATTCACTTAGCTTATTTAAAATGTGTGGAATATAAATATCAGTAAAATACAACTTAGAAAGTACATGCTACATTTATACTGTAAAGCTAACATCCTCGTAGTCTGCATAGTGGTTTTAATTTGACTGATCATTTATCTTTTTCCCTGATGGAAAACATTAAGCTTGATTTCAGGAGCAACCAGAGGGACGGTATCTCATCTTCCTCTTTTCTCATAACATGCTGGACAAATCCACTTCATGTCTCCTTGACACCCCTCTAAAAACAGAAAAAGAAAACATGGATCAGTGATACAAAAAAAACAACAACACATGACCAGAAACCCTGAGCTTCAAATATGTGTGTGCTTCATTCTGAATGTTATCAGGAACTTTATCGTGTTGATTTTGGTGTCCTCTTTGTAGAAATCAATACATCTGATCTCTTTCCTGGTGCTCACCTGTAAATGTGTGTAAGTTTCTCTAATGAACAGTTTCATTCTGCCTTTTTAAGCTGGCTAACGTTCCACTCTCTGTAAAAAGTTGCTGTGGAACAAAAGGCTGTGTTGTGTTGTAAATCCTTGTGGTACACTGACCCAGTGGCAGGCATTTTATGAAACTACACAGAAATAATCACTTCCTTCTTGGTGGAAGGTTGTGTTGTAAAATCCAAACAATATTCTTGAGTTAAATGTTGGTTTGACGCTGGTTTGACTTTGCTGAAGCTACATTTGAAAAAAGAAAATGTTAACAAGGATTGTTGTACATCAAAAACAGTGCAAAGACAATATAAGGTCATACAAAATGTATACAAACCATTTATGATTCCATAAACCTGAAGTTTTGTCTTAAGAGTATTTGTTTTGTACTCCTAACTCCATAACACAAAGATTGAAATCAACAACATAAACTATGTGAAACAAGCTTTTTGGAGCTGAAACAAAAGCTTGTTCCACATTTCAGCTTGAAGTGACTGAAATAAACTATTTTCTAAGTAGTTTCAGATGAAGTTCCTCTAAAATTCTAACAATTTCACATATGAGAGAGTAGTGTGGTTACCTGTAGTGTACAGCCTCCGCTCTGTGAAATCAGAGGATGAGCAGTGGATGAGCTCCACAACGTGGGGTCCTCCTGCATTGCTAATGTTTCATTTACAAACTTCATCATGCCCGTCAGATGACTCTTGTTCTCCTCCTCAGGCACCAGAGTGTTCACAGACTCCCTCCTCGACTCACTAGTCTGCTCCTCGTCTTCCTCCTGCAGGCCTCTGTCGTCGTGCCTGTCCAGCATGTATGTGAGCGGATTAAAGGAGAGGTCAGGGGTGGCTGTGGCTTCTGCAGCACTGAGGCCCTGCCAGCTGTGGTCCACTGTGTCTGTGGAGAAAGAGGAGGCAGAGGAGGCAGAGGGGGAGGTGGACTCCAACGGTTGTTTGCTTAACTCCCTCAGTGTGGCCTTCAGGCTCAGGGGGAAATCCAGAGAGGAGTCGATGCTGCTCCTCTGCAACCAATCACAAGTTTGATTTGATAAAAAAGGGGCTGAGAAGGGCTGTGCGTGAGGAAGGGGCGATAAGCACGTTCTTTGTAGTGTTGGGGAGAACAGGGGAGCTGAGAGAGGGTTGTCAGAAGTCATGGCAGTTGTCTGGGACTTTCTGGGCGAGGATTGAGGGGAGTGAGGAGAGGAAGAGCCCTGTGAGGAGTACATAGCAGGGAGGCAGAGAGAGTGATTGAACAGATTCTGGCGGTCTGCAGCTCTCTCCAGGCTGGAGAGTCGGGCTTGGAGACGTGTCACCTCAGACTCCTGCAGGAAGACAAGGACACACATAAAGACTTTAATCGCCTAGGTGTATGAACCAAGGTATATTTCTCAGTCTATTTTAACTTTTCATACTTTATATTAATATTTCTATACGAGAACAACACAATCCATTAGTTGACAGTCTCCTCTCACTCTTCTGAAATGAAATGATGGGTTAAAAAAAAAAAGAAAAGGAGGGAAACAAGTTGTTTAATGTTTATATAACAAACTGCTGATGATGAAGTCACCACTGCACACACTTACAGAGAGAAACAGAAAGAGAAGGGACAGGGCAAGACTAGGAGACAAGATGTAAAGGTGTGCATAAAAAAAGGGAAAGACTTGAGCACGGTGAGCGGTAGTTTTTGAATGCTAATATAATATGGATAAGTAAGTACAATTCAAATGGGAAAAAGGAATAAAAAATGTTACCTAAGATAGATTCATGCTATCTTATCGTAAATATAAGCCCCCCAGAGCCCCCATTCAATCTTTAAGAAACACAGAATATCAACAAAAACACTTGAAATGCAACTTCTTCTACGCTCAAAAGGACTCTAAAAGACTTTACCTTGATGAGCAGAGACTCACTGGAGGTCTCCATTTTCTTCTCAGAGGCCCACAGCTGGTCCTGCAGCTCGGCTGTCTGGACTCTAGCTTGATTTAACTGCACGCTGAGCTGCTCCAGCTGGGCGTGGAGGTGACTGTTCTGGGCTCTGGACTGCTCGTACAGGATTCTGGTTTGCTCGAGCTGGGTCTTACTCTGCAGGAGTTCAGCCTGAGTCTGGTCTCTCTGCGCTTGGAGGTGAATGACGTGGCTGCGTGTGCGATCCAGCTCAGTCTCAGTTTGATCAACTTTGATTCTGGTCTGCTCACACTCGGCCTTGACTTGCTCAAGCTGGTTCTGGCTCTGCTGAAGTTGAGCCGCGAGCTGCTCCTGGGAGGAGCGCATGGTGGAGGACATCTGCTCGGAGACCTTCAGGAGCTGGCCTCGAGTCTGCTGCACCGACTCCAGCTGGGGGGGGGGGCAGGCAGAGTTTGTTATGATATACCGTTTGATATGATGAAAGGTAACTGAAGTTGTAGCAGCACAAGAGAGATATACAAGTAGCAGGAATCAAGATTTCGTCATCAGTCTGTGGAAGAAATGAAGAAATAAGAAGAGAAGAAGAGAAACTGAAGGTGGACAAAAAGAGGAACTCCCACAGGTTGTTGATGTCTATACACACTTTCTTTCTGAGATTCTTATAGGGAAGCACAGGAAGAATTCTGACAGAGGAAGTATCTGCTGAACAAGTGGTGACATGTGATTGTAATTTAAAATAAGGAGTTAGACATAGTATCATAACATCATACTGAATAGTGTGATATAATTATCAAATACAAAAAGCGTTACTTGAATTTTTTGTAAATGGTGTGCTTAATAGATTTCTGAGTAAATTTGACTCACAACGTCTTCACCTTATGATTCCTCACAGTGGAACTTACACCATGAATGAGGGTAACATGAACAGAATTGGCCGAAGAAGAAGTTGGCAGCGAGATAAAAGCAGAAGAAGAAGACAACGAGATAAAAGAAGAAGAAGAAGTTGACAGCGAGATAAAAGAAGAAGAAGAAGACAGCGGGATAATGTCGGAGAGCAGTGAATATAAGTTAAAGGATGAAGCGTGCTGACAGATCGCTGTGAATACATTAATCCTGCACTTTCCTTTTTAGATATTGTGATAATGATTATTAGGATTTCTTGCAATATATTCTTTATAGCAGAGACCCTGTGTTTTGATACTCTGGCTATCGGGGGCCAAGTATCCTACATCATATCCTAACATGAGTTACCCTGCAAATTCCACCCCGAATGAAATTCCAAGGTTTTAACAAAAGATCCTGAACGGATCAAAGGCTCAGTAGAGTTTTGCTGTACAGCATCAGTATCCCTCTTTGATAACATTTTATTAATAAAAACACCCTTAAAGGCCTTTTGACGAACATGTGTATTGAATTAGACGGAGGAGGTGAAGCTGCAGTACCTCCTTGCTGTGCCTCTCCCTCTCCACCTCCAGCTCCACCTCCAAAGAGGTGATGGTGTTCTGCAGATCGGCCTCCAACTGCAGCCAGCGAGCCTCCTTCAGAGCCAGCTCCTCCTCCACGCTACTCAGCTGGACCTCCTGCCAACACGCACAAGCCGGACATACAGTCACACATGGCAAAGATCCACATCTTAACACGTCATTAAAGCTTTTATTTACCCTCATTTCCTGTTGTTTCTAGTAGAGACTATCTCATCCAACAAGGACAAAATGGCTTTTTCTCGAAACAAGCCAAGGTAGTGTATTACATAAAGAAAACTAAATTAGGATACTTTGAGATCGTTAACCCGCTAAATGTATTTTATTGTCGATTAGACAACAAACTCAGTATATGTATTAGATCTTCTTTATTCCCCTATGTTAAAGATTGAGTGATAAAATAATAATGAAATGTGCGTGGACTTCACCTTGTCTTTGTTCTGCAGCTTTGTGGCGTCTACTTCTCTGCTTAAAGCCTCACAGACACATCGAGTCTCTTCAAGCTCCTGGAGTACGGTTTGAAGTTTCTGCTGACTTGTACTCAACTGCTGAGTGAGCTGCTGGGACTCCTATCAACATACACACACACACACACACACACACACACACACACACACAAACACATGAACACACACATATCAGCCCAGTGACTGGTTATTCACAGAATAACACACAAGAGTATGAAATCATTCATTCATTATTTTAACTTTGGAAAACAATCAACACATATATCCCGTAGTCTTACAACTTGTGAGCAAACTAGATGGGATATTGTTCATTAGGGCTGGGAATCTTTGGGGGTCTCATGATTCGATTGAGAATCTATTTTCGATTCAAAGCGATTCTGGATTCATGATTCAAAGTTTATTTTTGAATCAGTACATACTTCAGGATCCACTCCAGTCATCTGTGAGACTGACTGAATTTCTTGATGCTCCATTTAGTATTCTACTGAGTGAAAGAGCTAGCCTTAGCACTTAGCAGGGAGGGACTAATTAGCCTAAAAAAATAAGAATCAATTTTTGGAAGTTATGAATCTATTTGAATTCTCGATTTTGACATAAATCGATTTTCCCCTCACCTCTATTATTCATTGTTCTATGAACAATTTGACAAATGTAATTTGGACACAGAATTGACAGTTGTCACTTTGTAAAGTTCCCTTTGAAAACATGTTGAAGTCAGATCTAAATGTATTTCAGGTGTCTCATATGCAAGGCTGAAATACGAACGCCGTCCACAACGGTCTTGCTCTCTTGCATTAACACACACAAGCTAACTAAAAATAAATAAAAATAAAAGATTAAAGCATAAAGAACATTCCCCGGGAGCTCGAGGTCTGCAACTATTTCCTGCAAATGTTTCTCTCATTCAAATCTTTCGTTAAAGGAGGGGGAAGACTCATCAAACAGGCATGTCTGCAGTTGTCATGGTGCTTTCAGGCGCTGTCTGCCAGATTGAACAGGCGCAATCAGGACAAAAACGCCATGAAGTTGGTGAATCAGCTCGTGGTTCTGCTCTGACTGTGCCAGTGTATGCAGTCACATGACCAAAATTGAAACATGCCAGATATTCATTGGAGCAGTCCGGAGTAGCAGATGAGGCCATGATCAGGACTCATGCTCCTCGTGCACTGCAGGACACAGGACGCATCACTGGACTGAAAATCAGCCCACCTTTAAATCAGTCGTTTACTCAAAATTTGGTTCAGAATTGTCCTGAAGTCGCTAATGTGTCCGTCTTCAGACTCAGGTCTTATAGAAAATCTTTATAACGTGGATTACAGAATCAGGACTTTCCTCTTCGATGAAAATTAATTTTGACAATAAGTGTCTTTGTTAGCAAAAATAAGGCTTGCATAATCAGTGCTAGCCCGTGCTGTTTGTTCCCCAGCTCTATTGCAGCTGAAACTTCCAGAGGCCATATTACTTTGTCGCAGATAGTTTTATATCTAACTTTGGATTCAATGTAAATCTTTAGTTTGAATAAATTATATGAAACATAGATGTAAATTCAATTTTCCTTATTATATATTCAAAATAATTTAATTGAAAAAATATTAAAAATTTAATTAAAATTAAAATACTGTTATCTATCCCGATTAAAGACGATTCCTATTGGAATTGTAAGATATGATAACCCCGCTATGTCGATACAGGCCCACATAGATATGAGAGGAGAGTTCAGGTTCAAATATCAGCGACTCTGTGTACAATAATGTCTTAAAGTTGCAATGCATTTACATTTATAGATAACTTGCATTAAATATATTCTTATAGATTATTTATTTGTCAAAAGGGATCAATGTATGACCTTTAATTTCTAATGATGACTTTAGGGATAGAAAAATCTCAGCAGGAGCAGGAATGCTGCTTGTTAATGTGTTTTCTCAGTTGTCTTTTCACCTCAGTCTACATTAACTCTAAGTAACCCATGTAAACATTTTGTCACAAGTTCAGCCTTATTATTGTGTGACCTCTCCTGACCTTCAGGTTTCTCTCTGTGAACTCCCTCAACTCTCTCTCTCTGGCCTCCAGGCTCTGCTGCACAGCCTCCACCTTCCTCTCCATCTCCTGCTTGTGATCTCGGATGGCCACTTCCAGCTGGGCCAGCTGAGGACGACAGGATGGCCGGAGGGGTGGGGGTGGGGTGGGGGTGGGGGGGGGGGGGGGTGGGGGGGGGGGGGGGGTGAGGAGAGGGGAAAAGCAACATTACATTTAATAAAAGCAATAAAGATAGAGAGAATGCAGTAAAACATTTCCTGAGAGTGAAATGAAATAGAATGAAAAATATTTGTTGGTGTGTGTTTTGTACCAGCTGTGCTCGCTGTTGGAGCTCCCCCTGTCTTTCCTTCAGAGCATTGTCCATGTCTAAGACCTCGTTTGTTCTCTCCTCCAACTCCCTCTGGGTCTCACTGCAAAGCCCCACACACACACACACACACACGCACACACACGCACACACACATTATTTTACTGAATAGATTGTAAAAAATGCACTAAATGAGTGACTTTAAGATCCAGCACTGGTAGACTGAGAGCTATAACGGTGTCTGATTGTTGCTTGATACAGGGATTATCATTAGAGGACTTTCTACAAGAGTTTATTGTTGAGCATTTTTAGATTGACCTTTGGGTTTGAGTATTTACAAGATGGCATTTCACTACTTCATTGTGTGGAACGGGGCTTTTGACTGCAACTTAGTTCTGTTATTACACCAGCAATGTTCTTTTTTTTTTTCCAAAGGGCGTTTTCTGTATCAAGCATCTGCCTGTTCCTGCTGCTAATGACTGCACTCATTGTGATCTGACAGTCACTTTAAAGAAAATCTAAAGGATCAGATTGATTAATAAGATTAAACATGTAGCAACCTGTCCCTTTGTTTTTTGTAAAGGAAATGATTCACCCATGTCTGAGTTCATTTGTGTGCTTGACGTACGATATCTGCACAAACTGTGTTTCACAGTTTTTATCTTTGTCAGTGGCATGTTTCAGATATATTACATCACAAACCAGAGCATATGTGTTAATCAGTCAGAACAACAACTTACATGACATGACACATTACACAATATTCACCTACTATTGTACAAAAAAATAACTTTAAATTTAAATTATTTAAAAAAAATTCACATTATTTCATAAATTCAAACAACAACAGATTGCATCAATTCATCAAAACAACATAGAAAATTCATGTGAAAAAGGTAAACTATATAAAAAGCAATCAAGTAAGAGAGCTCAAGAGGGACACATGAACAATAGAAGGATGTATGACTGTGTTGGTGTGACTGTCGGTGTGTTTTTTAATACAAAGTTGGATTCAGCCACAGATGAGTCCCATACGGTCAGATCATCAGCACATGGTTTCATTGTTTGGCTCGTCCCTGCGTGCAGAAATATAAATTTCTTTTGACAGAGTTTCCTCACCTAAGTTGAAAAGTCAGTTTCTCCACCGTGTCTTGCCGTTCGTCTGCGGTGGTTTGTGTTCTCTGCAGAACATCTCGGAGTGTCTGTAGCTGCTCCAGAGTGTCGGCCAACTCTCGACGCACGTCCTGAAGCTGTCGCCCCAGGACCTGGACCCGCTGAACGCTGTTGAGTCTGTCGGCATCACAGCGATGGAGCTTCTCCTCCAGATCCACCACTGGTTAAGATAAAAATAAAGGAAAAAAAAAGTTAGGAGCAAGTCCTTAAGTGAAGGAGCTCAAGGATTAAAAAAAAAAAAAAAAATAGTAACATGACTGTAATTTGACATTGTAACATACCGATTTCATTTTTTCTTTCAAGTTGGTTCATCAAGTTTTGCAGGGTTTCCTCCATGCGGCTGATGTGAGACGTCTTCACAGCGATGTCCCTCCTCAGACACTTCAGCTCTGACTCCTTGGACAGCAGCTCCCCTTGACACTCCTTCATCTCCGAGTTCAGATGGCTGCACACAGCACACAGAGTGGAACACAAAAACAATAATCAGCACTCTTGTAAAGCATTTAAAGGTCTTAAAAAAACAAAACAAATCGACTTTTCTTGATGCAATAGAGGGAAGATGTGCTACAGAAAGAGTAGAAAACATTAAGCAGTGTACACATTGCATTAAACATGTCCATTTCCTCACCTTAATGTGAGCATGGCCCCCATTGTGGACTGGAAAATGAAATCCCTCCACAACTGTTGAAGTAGTCAAGCTGAGCGACACAAACGTGCCTTTTTATGGCACTATTAAATACGCAACATGCAGAGCTTTTAAAATGTCACAAACTGAACAGAATGAATTAACTCTGAACACATCAGGCTTCAACCTCCCTGTCCCAGGGAAAGACCCACATTTATATATTCATGTCCAATGGGGTGTAAAGAAGGGAAGGGCTGCTTTATGCCTACAGAGATATTGATGTGGTGTAGTCATGAGACTGTCCCACTGTCTGTCTGTGGAGGCTGATTGCCCTTGCTGCAGGTCAAGAAGGGAAAGATACTTGCAAGAATGTTCCATCACAAAATGGTTACAAAAGCTTCATACAAACGGCTGTAAATAGCTGCAGGACGATATTAGATAACATTAAATAAAAACAGATTTCAAAACATTTGGTTAAATGTTATTTTTAAATGATTTTATTATAGCACTGTCAGTGATTCATTTTGGTCCAAATGCATTTAGCCTTTTGAAAACTTAGTAAATATTTTGTATTATGTCTAGTTCGAAACAACAAGAGTGTAAAGTGTGTGTTGCTGTGTGTACAGATGTCCTACCTGACGGATTCAGAGAGTTGTGTGTTCTGCTGCTTCGTCTCCTGCAGGTCTTTGTCTCTCTCCTGCACCTCCTGCTCTCTGATCCTAACCTCCACCTGCAGAGCGGCCCGGGCTCGTTCCAACTGCTGCTCCAGACTGGACACCTACAGACAGTCACCCAACACCAGCAGCATCCCTCATTATTCATCTAGGACATCCATGGATCTCAGGGGAACCAAGCCATGGAAATTCACATGATCACAGCAAAATAGGCTCGACAAATTGTCTTGTAGAGCAGATCTGATGGTTGCACGATAAAGCAAGTTCCACATCCCCGGGCTTTCTTATGCTTTAGCTGGCTATATCGATATCAACACCTGATACACTCTCAGTTCCTCTAATTTATCTTTTATTTCACAACTTTTTTTCAAACGTTTTTTCCCCCCCATGTCTTTATTTAGAGGAAGGACAGTGGATAGAGTCAGAAATCAGGAAGAGAGAGAGAGAGAGAGAGAGAGAGAGAGAGAGAGAGAGAGAGAGAGAGAGAGAGAGAGAGAGAGAGAGAGAGAGAGGGGACTGACAAGTGGGAAAGGAGCAAGAGGTTGAACTCCAATCAATGGCGCCTGCTTGGAGGACTACAGCCTCCTAACATGGGGCACGAACACTAACCACGAGGCTAACAGCGCCCGCACTAAAAGCTTTTTAACATGATACACATCATTTTAACAGTTTAAGTCAAAAAGGAGTAGAAGGTCAAAAGCTTTTCCTAACGTATAACCTCACCTCATATTTCAAATATCTATGTCGAGGAATGTGGTGGTCCAGAGATCAAAAAATGAAAGGACATTTCTCTGAAGCCGAATAAAAGCCAAAACTCGAAACATTACCTGGTCTCCTTTTGACCCTGGCTTCAACAGACCGGGCTAATCCATAAATCTTGCCACCTAGTACAGTCCTCTGACCTCCCTCATTTCAAATCAATAATTAAAAGCTGGCCTTTTCTTGATCATCTATTTCTTCCAAGAAACTGATCCCCTGTTGTTTGCCCAGATCAGATCGTGTTAGCCTCTATGTTCAGCCCTACTCACTGAATGGTGTTTATTCTCCTCTGTTGGCTGTGAAGGACAGAAAGTTCAACCAGACCAAATGTGCTCAAACTCTAAAAGATGTAATGATGCAGATTTATTACATCTGTCATATAGACAGTGTAGAGGATTAAGTTAGGACGTACGTACACTGTACAGAAGGTGCAGCAGTGTCATCTCACACCGTACGTGTTAAACCAGGATGGGACATCGATGATTGTCTTAAAAGTTTCCTTTGAAAACTCCCACAGCAGAGTTGAAGTCAGATCTATGTGTTTTTAAGTTACGTCATACACATGGCCCGAATACAAACACACTCACAAACTCAGTATCACCAACATCACAAGCCAAGTCGGAACAAATACTCTCTTGCAGCTGGAGGTCTGCAGCTATATCCTGTCAATGTTTATTTCATTCATATCATTGGTAATAAAAGGAGGAAGAAGACGCATCAAACAGGCTTGCCTGCTGTTGTCATGGTGCTTTGAGACGATGTCTGCCAGTTTGGGAAAGCGCAATCAGGGAAAAGCCCTGAAGTTGGGGAACTGGGCCGTGGCTCGTTGGGAGCAGCAGATTGGTCCATGATCAACAAACGTGCCTCCCTGTACACTGCACGGCTCGGTCGAAATGAAACCCGACTTCAAAGTTAGTCAAGCAACTCAAACGTGGAGTCAAAATTGGACTGACACTGCACAGTGGATACCGGACTGTACAGCCACAGTAGCTCATCTTCTACTCTTTTTGCGCTGCTGTTTGCTAAAACAAACAGTTTTAATAAACGTGTTTAATGTTTGCTGTTAAGGTAAGATCTTTGGGGATTACACTGGACTTGTCAGAATTAATCAGAAACATTTCAGAAGAGTTTCCTAGATAAATTCAGTTAAACTGACATGCTTCTTAATGAAGGACCACTGATGAAGCTTTATCTGAACAAAAACGTCTCAGAACATCCCTCAGTCCACTCCAGTTATTACCAAACAGAATAATAAATGACCGAGGGCAAGGAGAGGACAATGAAGTCGAAAACTTGAGTGAGTCTCAACTCTCTTATTGGGCACACTTTTATCTGAAGTTAGTGCAGTCAGTCAGTCAGTCAGACCACAAGCTGGCTTTAGCACATTACTTGTTTTATGAATAGGAAAACAGGCTCCTGGCTCCTCAACATTGTGACGACCCCTGACTGTCAGGGCTTCATTTGATGTTGTGCAACTTGGCAGACAGGGCCTCAGTATTTAAACTGGCTTCTCATTCTCTAGGCAAGATTTTGTTTTGTCTTTGTTTTGCCTCCACAACATTACACACATTCACCATTGCAATCACCACTGATTGACCAATTGCACATTCTTTGATTAGGTGGATTTGACTTAGCTTTCGATAAATAATCTCTTAAATAACGTAAAACTGTGTGGCCTCCCTGTTTGTCCAGCTCACTGAGCCTGGGTTGTGACAACATGTAGCTCTAAGTGACCAATAAGGGGAGCAGAAAATTGCTCCTATGCTGCAATTTAACTGCTAGGTAACTTGTTTGAGGAACTGAAGTGCAGTGTTACTATGTTTGGAAACATTGCATGCACCACTGAAGCGCAACATTGAAAGAATTTATTATCCTGGTTTATCTGTATCTTATATGTTGTATTGTCTTAAATAATGTATAACTAATGTGTAAATACATCACTAACTTAAACACATCGCAGACAAAAAGCAGATCTACAGCCTTATATATTCTGGTTTGATATTTTTTAGTTTTCCTTTTTGCTTTGGAAGACAAGCTTTGTGTGCTTAACAAAAATCTTAATTGTCTTGTTGCAAAGTGAAATATTTGTATTTCTCTCGATACACTACAATAAATCAGCCTGTGGAGTTCTTCATGAAATGATAGTAGAAATATAAACACACATTCCTTTTTGTGCCACTAGATTTGATAGATAACTCGAAAACACTGAAATCATGGTGTTGTCAGATCTTCATGAACTTGCCTACCTCAGTCTGCAGCTGGCTCTGACTCTCCTCCAGTTCAGAGATGTGAGCCGTGCTCTCAGCCAGCATGGTCTGCTGCTGCTGCAGAGAAAGCTGCAGCTGCAGGTTCTGTTCACTGGAGCTCTGACACTCGAGACTGGCTCTGTGGAGCTTCTGCTGCAGGGAGGAGACCTGAGGGGAGGGACAAGATCAGTTCAAGAGGAGGTTAAAAGACATAAGTTCTTACGTTACATCTAGCAAACTGTGTGTTTGTACGTGGCAGTGCACCTTGTCCATGTTCTTGTGCAGATCACTCTCATAGTTCTTCTTAACTTCCTCCGTCCGCTGCAGGTATGAGCTCAGCTCCTCTCTGCACGCTGACAGAGACGACTGCAGCTCACAAACCTGATGTCCAAACAGAAGTGGTTAGTGTGGAATTCACAATGTTTCTGTAGAGTTCAACGTCAGCCATTTGTCTTTGTGGAATCGTGTCTTTGTTCAAACCTTGGTCGCAGACTGAGCCTCTTGCTTTTTTAAACTCTGCAGAAACTCCTCGCTGAGTCTTTCTTCAACCTGCCTCTGCTGTAAACACATCACATCACATTTAGGACTGCAGGTACATTATGAGGATTAATCATCATTGTCTGAAATGTTGGTTGTGCTTCATCGACTGAAGAGAAGCTTATAGGGGGTCCTACACACTATAATGCGTGTCCTGACCTGTGTAAGCTGGTCCAAGGAGCTCCGAAGTAGAAGAGCTGCTTTCTGAGCGTCGTCTCGCTCCCTCTGGAGAGAACTCAGCTCCTGCTCCATCTCTAACACCCCAGACTGAGCCTCCTCCACGGACAACTGCAACTGCAGGAGAGACAGTACTGTTATTTACTGAAGGAAATATCTGATTTTCTTTGATTTGGTTTGAGTTATACAGAGTGTAAAACATTATCACAGCTTTCTTCTATGATTGGTTAACCTAAATGATTGATGTATTTAACCTTTACTTAAACAGGCTAATAACCATTTGAGATCAAGACCATTGGTTGGTTGAACTGATTTAAGTAGTAGCATATTTAAACTGTAGAGTTTCACTGAAGCAAAGCTGTAGTTGTTGATCACCATTTCTATTCTGTGCTGCTGCTCGTTGAACTGTTGAGAGTGAGACTTTTTGCACTTATCCAAAGACTGCTGGTACTCCTTTTGCTTTTTGTTCATTAGTGACTGGTAATGCTGAAGGGTGCTGCTTTTCTCCTGGAATAAGAAAAAGCAAAAGTGTTTTTTTTTTTTATGTTTTGCAAGCAACAAGTAGCAAACATGCTCATAATGACAGCAAAAATGAAGTCAATATGAGTCAATGAAAGAAAAAGGACAAATATCTGGACAACATCATGAGGGTGCATGTGTTGTACCTGCAGCTGGTTCTCCAGCTCAGTGTTGGTCAGTGCAGCCTGGCTGTAAGCTGAGGTTTTCTCCTGTAACTGTTTCTCCAGTGCAGCTGCACGAGCACTTTTTCTTTTTAACTGAAGGGAAACAGAGGGAAGAAGAAAAATAACGCTCTGCAGCTTGAAGTATAACTGAAACATCATAATGAACATTCATTAAAAATGACAGTAAACATCCCACCTCAGATGGTTGAAAAGGTTTTGAAATCATGAAATAATCAAAAATAAGTACCAAAGTTATCAGAGCTCTAAATAAAAAAAATCAGCTTTCATTTAAGTTGTAATACATCATATATCATTTAATATTAAGAAGGATGCAAACACAGATGACATGTTCATCTTTAGGCAGAACATTTTGATTTGAAAGAAATAAAACAATGAAAAAAGGTATGATGGAAGAGAAGAGAAGACTGTCACCTCTTTCTCCGTGTCTGTGGCTTGGCTGACTTTGTCCAGCAGCTCCGTGTGGAGGCTCTGGTAGTGGGAGGCTCTCTGGGCCATGGAGCTCTGCAGGGTGGAGATCTCCTCCTGAGCTCTGCTCAGACGCTCTTGAAGCCGATCCACCAGGTTGTTCTGTTTGTTCCGCTCGGCTTCTATCGACTGCAGCGCTCGAAGCAGCTGCTGGTAACCTTCACCTGCAAGGATTGAGCAACATGGCAAGAATCATATGAATCATATGAGGTAGAAATGCTCATTTGTCTGTGATTTCCTGTAAGTTATTTACTATATGACCACCACGTTGCATAAAGCTTGTTTTAGGTTTCTTCTCTACCTCATGGACTAAAATATATATACACACACCTAAAATGAAAAACAATGATTAAGAATAGGTCCCTCCTGCTAGCTATTTCAAGTTTTAGGAATCCAAAAGGTTCTCCTATAAGGACAAATCTGAGTAGAAAAGAAGTGTTGGAAAATAATGAAAATGGAAAAAGCCGGAGATGTAGAATCTTCTGGTGTATAAAACAAGAGCATCTGAATTGAAAATAATAAAGGCTTACATTTGTTTTAACACCAAAGTATACATGAAGTTTGTCTACATACCCGGCTTCAGCTTCAGCAGGTGTGCAGTTCCTGTGAAATCCATTGGAGGCAACATGCAGGGCCTGATGCACAGCGGCCCCACAGCAACCTGAAAGTACAAAATAAATGACATCGGCAAAGGCGTCACACCTTCCACAAGATCAGTGAGAAAAAACCACAACCTGTTCTGGACAGTTTCTATTGGACCCAAACACAGTTTTAGGAAAACAAGTAAACTGTTCTTGTCATATTCCCTTGGGTTCAATTTTGTGGGATGCTTAAAAGAAATCATGTGATGCGGGAACAAAAACGACAGTGTTATTGTGTGTATATATTCTTCACCTCTCGGAGGTGCAGCAGGGCCAGTGCTGCCTCAAGGCTGGCAAGCTCCGCCTGGCTCTGCTGAGCCTCCCTGTGGCTTTGGGCCACCCTGTGCTCCTGAGTGTGGGTCAGAGTCTGCAATTCCTCCAGCTGCTTTTGCAGAGAGGCCAGCTCCCTGCACTCTGCTCCCTGCTCCTTAAGCCTCCCTTCCAGGTATAAGGCCTTTCGTCCGGCCTCCTCCAGCTGAGCTTTAAAGCCAGCAGCCACAGACTCAGCCTGCCTCACGCCTTCCTGCAGCCGACTGGGAAGCAGGCAAGATTGGGATAAAAATGTGTAAACCAGAAAATCAAAGCTATACTTCTGAAATACTCCAATAATTTCTACACACACAAAATAAACTACTGAAGCAATGACACAGGACTATAAATCTCAGATGCGTACCTTATTGTTTGGTTCTGCTCAACTTTTTCTCTCTCCCACACGGTGCACTTCATTTCCAGCTCCTCTTTTTCTCTGTCACACTCGATTAGACTCTCTTTGAGTTTACCCTCACTCTCCATCACCTTTAAAACAGACATAAACACAGTTTTGGCTTCAGCATGCAACTAAAAACTAAAAAATAGATTTACTTCATCATTTAATTATTTTATATAATCAAATGTACCATATTAACTTTAATGGAAATGGTGGCCTTATAATCTTTGAATGCTTCTTTGAGTTTCTCAGCATTTTGAAGTGCTTGGTTCCTTTGTTGTTCAGCCCTGTAGGCAAACAAAAATAATAACTCCATCATTTTATCACTGTTATAATATCTGTTCATATTTCAACTCCAGGTTTAAGTCAGTATATGCAATTAGTTTACACTTTAAAAACCAGATGGATTAAAACTGTGTGAAGTATCAAAGCCCAGATAGGTGCGTCACCGTTTGCCCAGTGCTGCTGTGTTGACGAGCTCTTCTCTGAGTGTACTGAGCTCCTCGGTGAGACTCGCCACCAGAATGTCACTGTGAGCAGCTGCTTCCTGGCTACACTCTGCCTTCAGCTCTGAAGCCCTGGGAAACAGACACAACAGGTGTTGTAAATATTGCAGCAAGTTAAACTGGTGGCCAAAGCAAAAGGCATTTCATTCAAAAGCCAGAATCAATCCTAGCCCAGAACAACAAGGACAATAACTGAAGACTAAATGACATTTTAGTACCATGACAGGTTATAAACAACAGCACATTCCATAATTTCACACCAGTGTACTATGCAATGTCACAATATGCGTGTCACTACCATTCTGCAATTACATAAATAGAGATATAAAAGCAGAAGAATAATTTGATGTCCGTGGTTACTTGAGATCTTTGGCTTGAGCCTCCAGTTCTGCTTGAAGCTGACAAATCTGCTCACTCATAACTCCTACATTGTTTTTAACTCCCATCCTGGAGCTCCTCAGGCCAGCCTAAAAATTAAAAAACACACAGAGCAACGCGTCACGCAAAGTTTCTGCTTACATAACAAGATTTCTATTTGTACTCTCTTTGAAGTGGAAAAAAATAAAGTATTTTGCCAATGGCTCAACAAAATACTTCCAAGAACACATACTATACAGTGCACTCATTTGACGCACACAAAAACAAAAGCACAAGAAGTGAGTGTCTAAAGCGTGTGTTGTGGATGGTTTAAATACCTGTGACCTGAAGGAGGACAATTCAGACTGCACCGCATCGAGGTCACTGATGAGCTGCTCATTCTGTAGGCTCAGACAAGCGTTCTCCTGGCGCAGATAGCCCGACTTCTTCCGCGCAGTAAAAGACTCCATCTCTACTGGCCTGGCTGAGGCTGACTGATAAGTGAGGGATGAACACAGGTGTGAACAAAAGGAGGTTTGAGAGGAGATTACAACACTGTTTACTATTTACTATAATGGAATCCAGGCCATGTTTATTGTTGATGATTCTTGTCTAAATGGTCTTTATGACATTTACAGATTACTTTGAAATAGAGGGGCATGCATCATATCTGATTTCCTATTTCCTAACAAAAAAAAAATAGCCAATACTGTACAGACCACATTTACACTCTTAGCCTGACCTTTATAATATTCAATCATGTATCGCTACTAAATCTATGTAAATGAGAACCAATGTAGTTTGATGTGAACTTCAAAGTTTGATGAATCCATCCACTCTCTTTTTGGGGAAGGAAAAACCATGTTTTCTACACACAACAACAACAATGCAGAATGAATGAGAGGGTGATGTACAGTATATCTGACTGGGTGTCCTTCACTGTTGTGACTCAATAAAACACTTAAAGAAACTTGTTTCTTACCCAGAGTTGCAGGAGGTTAAACTACAAAGAAGAGCATGTCTCTCCTGACCAACACAGCCTGACTGGGATGGAGGATCATCAGCTGACTGACTATAGAAGATGTACCATACAGGGACTTCTAAAATACATGGCATTGTAGAAATCAAGAACTGGTTTAGACTGGCTTCATGTTATTCACTTACTTTACCTCAGATTCTGGTCCAAACTGAGCCCGTCAGTGTAAGCAGACTCCTTAGATTGTCCACATCTTCAGTGAAACTGTTCTGGTTCTCTAACATTAACTAGTTGTGGGTACAACTTCAACTAATATACCATCCTATTACCTTTTAGTTGCTCAAGCCATATTTCCCGCTTGTGTAAATGTCTGACAGGTATATCACCAACTAATAACTCAGCATTATACCTTCAATTCGTAAACGTGTTTTTACTTCTAGTGCAAACGAACTAGCTAGCATAGCTACGTGTGTAAATGTAAACAAAGATGCTCGGTGCGTCAACAGGTTATCGCTACTTTTGAGAAATGCCATCAAATAAACAACAGGTTACGTTTTGAATTGTGCACACAGTCTATCGTCTTGTCTTACGAAGCCTTATTTAGTACCATAGACTTTAATTTAAGTTAAGTACCACTATGTACTTTTAGTTTGCTCAAGCATATTTCCGCTTGTGTAAATGTCTGACAGGTATATCACCAACTAATAACTCAGCATTATACCTTCAATTCGTAAACGTGTTTTTACTTCTAGTGCAAACGAACTAGCTAGCATAGCTACGTGTGTAAATGTAAACAAAGATGCTCGGTGCGTCAACAGGTTATCGCTACTTTTGAGAAATTGCCATCAAATAAACAACAGGTTACGTTTTGAATTGTGCACACAGTCTATCGTCTTGTCTTACGGAAGCCTTATTTAGTACCATAGACTTTAAATATTAAGTTAAGTACCACTATGCAAAAACTTTCCAGTTCAATCAGTGTAGGTGTAAGGAAGTAAAACGGTTTGTAACAAAGCAGAGGTTGTGTTCTTTGGCTACAGAAGCCTGCTGAAAGCCAGTGATAGCAACATGTCGTCTTAAACCGGCTGAACAGAAGAGAGAAGCTTCAAACTCAATGTCTACATCCACACAATGAAGAGGTATCAATGTCAAAAAGGTCTGTCCATTTGTACAAAACCACAAACGTCCCATAATACAGATAGCAACACAAACTAAATAATGACCTCTTGTAGTTACATACAGCATATTAGTTTTCCAGTGGTTGTTTTTTGAGTCAGTTTGAATAAGCAAGTGTAGCAGTAAAAAAATGGACTACAATTTAATGTTGCTTATAGAAAAAAAAAGAAACATGCATACATACCAGTATGGGGAAAAAAGTAATATGAGAAATGCAGCATATTACATTTAAATACTGACCAAAACACTGAGAGAATAACTTAAATCAAAACTTCCTGTCAAGCTGCAGATGATGGCCTTTATAATGCAGTGAAGTTCTGGGCCATATCCTGAGTGTGTAGACTACATGACTGTTAAAATCCAAGTGCGTTATGGAATTTAAATTTGTTTGTTTTCACCCATCACATAAACAAAGAAAATACAATAGAGATTAATTATCACATAAGAATGCTGGAACTCCCCATTGTAAAGCCATATGACCAAATTATACCATTGAACAACATGATCCTGGACTTACTTGCATAGGCAGCAGAAACACAAAAACAAATCTTAATATGAAATGGGTAAATAAACATTAATAATATCAACACTTTATTTTATGAATTACTATCAGATAAAGTTAAAACTAAATAGGTCCTTAAAGATTTCAGAGGTTAACAATCATATTATCGATTTCAAACTAAAATGTTGGGACATCTTCTCTTGGGCTTCTGAACATTTATGCAATTAAATTACACTCCTTTTGGAGAGGTTAATTTTTATAATACCACATGTAAGTTTAAACAGAGTTATGATCAAAGTAAAACAGTACTTAAAAAAAAAAACCTTAAGGCAGCAGAAACACAAAAACAAATCTTAATATGAAATGGGTAAATAAACATTAATAATATCAACACTTTATTTTATGAATTACTATCAGATAAAGTAAAACTAAATAGGTCCTTAAAGATTTCAGAGGTTAACAATCATATTATCGATTTCAAACTAAAATGTTGGGACATCTTCTCTTGGGCTTCTGAACATTTATGCAATTAAATTACACTCCTTTTGGAGAGGTTAATTTTTATAATACCACATGTAAGTTTAAACAGAGTTATGATCAAAGTAAAACAGTACTTAAAAAAAAAAAACCTTAACACTTGATGAAAATGCTGCCATGTCTGAACTGAGAAGCTCAAATCATCAGTTTTAAATGAGATGACAGCCTGACGGATTTTTGATATGTGCCATCAATACTACAAAAAAAATAATCTGAAATTAGAGACAACTGCCCTGCTGAACAGAAAAAGTCAAATGAGAAAGAAGGTAAGAGAGAAAAAAAATATCATAAATGTAGTTAAATTCTATATAAAATAAACATTCTCCGCAGCATCTCTTTTGTTTGTAGCTCTTCCTGAACATGAGCATGCTTCCCGAAAAACACAACTGGCGAATATGTCTGCTCGAGGCAACAAGAGGGACTCAAAGCTGGGACTAGACAAGGAGGGGACATGGTTGTAAATTAACACATTTTGTTTATAAAGAAATTAAAGAATATAAATGTTAACCTAGACACACATCACTGTTCAATGCATGGTGTGAAATTAAAAATACCCCTCTTTCTCTTATCCTCCATGATTCAAAAACTTAATGCCTGACCACCTACATTCGTTCAAAAAGCACATTGTTTCTTACTGAACTGTTCTGGAAATGAAAAGCACATCACTGAATTTAAAATAAAGCACAAATTACAAGTCACTGTAAGCCTTCAGATGCAGTGCAGTGATCAAGCATTTGCCTCTGAAAAATAAAAAATTCTGTCAACTGAAGCAGATATTGAAGCTAGAAGCAGAATAACAAAAACCTTTTCTAATGATATGCTTTCTTCCTTTAGAATGAAGAGCTATTTTTTTTTAACATGAAAATGTATGCATGAATTAATGATCACCCTGGACTGTAACGACCTAAAAAGGCTTTACAGTGAGATTATCAGGCAAGACTTGCTCCTCTCTAAACTAAACAAAAGGCATATATCAGTTAATGCTCTGAACGCCTGCTGTGTTATTTGTCCTCAGCACAGCTGTAAACCTCCTGCAGCCGCTGGTCGGAAATGATGTTGACGATTTGCAGTCTAGGAGGCGGTGACTCCTTCCCACTCCACCAGGTACTGCACCTTGCCGTCCAGAGTGACCCGTCGTGCCAGGACTTTGTACTTTTCCCCACAGGCAAGCCGCCCTGCTGCTCCAAAATAGCTGCTGATGGAGCTCTTGAGGTGGGAGAGCTGGCTGTTGGGGTCCATGCCATGAACTATGTCTGAAGAGTGAAGCCCTGGGAGTGGGCTCAGCACCTCTGTAGCTGATGGGTCCGGGTCAATGTGGACGGGAGGGGGGATTTCTGGGTTGGGTGGCTGCAGGGCCCGTCGTGGTCGCCCACGTTTTCTTTTTAAGGGTGGAGCAGAAACAGGTATGGTGCTGGCTGTAGTGCGGGTCTTGCTGGAGCTACAGAGGCTTGGATGGGGTTTGATAGGAAATAAAAAAAGAGATTGAAAAACTTTTTTCACTTAAAAAAAACAACAACCTACAGACATGTGAAGCTGTTACACGGGAGGAATTTATTGACAGAAGCATGTCCAGCTCCACAAAGTTACTATTGGACCTTCTCCCGCTTGACCTTGCTAACAAGATAGCATGCAGCATACTGGTTGTAAGTCATATGGTGAAATAATGTACACCTTTACAGCTCCGTTCAATTTGGTACAAATATGGTGATATCCAAAAGGCAGACAATGCGACTTCTGCTATGCTACACATTTCTGCTGTTACGACTTCCAGGTCATTATGGATGGGAATGTAAATAGTATGGCAAACAAATAAAGGGTATTGGACCTATTGAATGTACAACTTCAGGGTGTTACTTGAGAGTTCTGAGGATGCATCTTGAGGAGAAAAGGAATATCTGTACCTCATTGTAGTACAATATTTTTATAAAATTCACAAATTTTAACCTCAATGGGACACAGGAGGAAAAGCTCAAGCATCAGCTGTGTACCCTGCACGTCCCTACAAATTGTTGGGCAAATCCATCCATTCCATTGTGACACATGGACCAAAATGTTTGTGGATGTCGGTGTTTCTCTGTCTGTCGGCTGAATAGGGTTACAGGTTTGTGAAAGAAGTAATTAAGCAGACAATAGCAGACATACCTAGACGGTCTTGAAATGCTAGTTGAGGTAGTTTCTGTGGTGCTCAGGGCCCCTATGGATTCCACATCTGAGGACAGCAGAGACCTCTCCTTCCTAGTGATTCAGGTTGGTTGAATGCAAGAAAGGGACAGAAGGATGAAACAAACAAAAATGCTGAAATAATCAGTCAGTTCATGAAACGTCAATCATATCTTCATGCGTGTTCTTCTGTTCATTTATTGAGAAATGAAAACAGTAATGAGCTGCAGCCCAAGCTGTACCACTGTTACATTTACAGAGAAAATTTCAGAACAGGTTTGTGCATCACTTACTTGATAGAGGTTAATTGAGCCAATGTGTGGGCCTCCAGTGGTAGAGGTTTTCTCATTTCCTGTCAGTAACAAGACAAATTGTAGCGTTTTCAGTGTTTCTATTCAATTAAACAGTTTCTCAATATCCCCAGCTAAAGAAAAAGTTTGACATTTGTAAGTGTAGAGCTCAGACACACACACCTGGGATAAGAGTTCAGTGGAGCGTTGTGGTTTAGACAGAGAATGTGCTCCTTGCTTCCTCTTTTTCTTCTTCTTATCTGTGCCATTGGTTAAAGTACTGCATGTTCTATAGCAACAACAACAACATTTCAAAACAGTTACGCAAGTTTTGACAGTTGTGTATTAAAAACACCATGATGCATTCACACTTCATGAAACACATCATCAGAACACTGCTTTACATATTTATTTCCTCCCTTCCACCCTACCTCATGTCAGATAGGGCTTTGGTGGGCTTGCATCCCTTAATGGTGATCTCATGTGAAGCCCTCTCCATCTCTCTGATGGTCGGCTCATCAGAGTTGGGAGGGGCAGGAGGGAAACGGATTCTCAGTCCAAACAAGTGCTTCTTCTTCTTCACCTCCTTCCCTGACATGAACCTAGAAGAGAGAAAAGTGTCGGGGTTAGAGTCACAGACGGACTCAAGTTAAGAAAAATAAATAGGGATGAACACAAACCGGTGAAGAACAGACTCACATGCTGCTGTTGTTGTTTAATGCCTCCAGAACCCTATCGTATCGCTCTGATCTCCGAGTGTTGGCGAGCTGCAGACACGGGGGAGGGGAGGTCACCAAACAGGAAAAACAGGGTGCACGGAGAGAAAAAAATGTATTTTCAGAAAATCAACATTTCAAAACAGATATTTTACAGCCTTCAGTAATTTAAAGATATATTAAACCTCTACAACAAGCTTACAATGTGGCTAAGCAGTACCAGTTTTACTCTTACTGGAGCGTTATAATAAGCAGCTACATCTTCAATGGAAACAGGTTTTGTGTATCGTTAATAGTGTTAGCCAAATCTTAAGCATGCGCTCTTAGAGATATATATATATTTAGCCTTTATGTTCATTGGTAAATGCAAAAAGAAACTTAACTTTGAACTTAAGAAATGAAACTAGTGAAATAAATAGAAAGTTATATAGTTTCCTCACCTCCCCCAACTGCAGCAGCTCCCAGTTATCATTGATGTATACCATCAGGTCCATCTCAGAGTCAAAGTACTTCTTCTTGTGAATTACACTCAGGTTGTACAGGCTCAGGTGTGTGACATCATCCCTAAAATATTTTAGAGAAAGCGGTATGAGTTTATAGATGCAGCAGTTGTGAGAACAGTGGAACTGCTGGTGTGAATCTTATTTTGGGTCCCTGGCATTTGGTGCAATGTATGTATGAAAAAAATAAACCTAATTTGAGAGTATCACATGCTCATTTATTTCATATTAGAGATTCACTCACCAGCAGAGAGACAGTCTGCTCAGGTACTCTGGTCCCCCATTGCAAACAGAACAAACGAACAGATAAAACCTAACAATCAAAACAAACACAAAACAACCTCAGCTAAGGTAGTGTAGGGGCAGATGTTAAATGTGGACAGTTTTCTTGGTTTCCAAAAGATTAATATGAGAATAAGAAAGGAAAAGTTACACTGCCTCTAATCAAGGATAATGCACCCTGATATATGAACATACAGAGGGGTAAAGAGCACCAACAGAAGTGATTTTATATTTTATTTTAAGGCTGTTGGTAGTGATTCTAAGGTATGAAACATCTACATGGTAGCACTGTCACCTATCTCCGTAGAGCATGGGCATCTGTAAGCAATGAAGACAGGCCTCGTGGAACCACTGCTGACACCTGTCACACTGCAGCATCTTCAGGTACCAGCTACAATTAGAGAGAAAAGAGAGGAAAGGTCAGCGCTGCAATTTGGTTTTATACATGGGCAAGTTGTGTTACGGAGTTTTTGAGGTCTGGTCTATGTTTTACTCACTCTCCTGGACCTCCACAGTAGCAGTAGCACTTCTGGTTGTTAGTCTTGTGGCCCTGGTCCCACAGCAGATCCTCCAGAGCATAGGGGAAGGACAGGTGCAGCCCCATGTTGTGCTGCTGCTGCTGCTGCTCGTGCTCCACAAAGCCTTTTGCAGACACACTCTTCCTGTGTGAACCCCCTCTCTGAAAAACATAAAGACAAAATGCTTGTTGCTTCCCCAGAATAAACTTGTATAAACATATTTACAGTATTGACTCCCATGATTTATCCTGTAGTTAACCATTTAGTCTCTTGTCTCCAGTTTATTTTAATGCTAAAGCAAACAAAAAACAATAAATCAACGAGTCAGAAATAATAGTCATTAATAATGTAAATACACCTTGTAAAACAACTTTTATACAAAGACATAAATATGTTGTTAAACTCAAAACGAAGCTGTACCTTAGTCATAGAAGCGAGCGCACACTCTGTGCAGAGCCATTTATCATCCGAGTCAATGACACAGGCATCGATGATGGGGGAGTGGCACAGCTGATGGTAGCCTATGTGACAATCGACATATTTACAAGCAGCTTAAGAAAGAGTGAAAGTGGTCATTTTGGAAGAGGAATGAAGAACAGAATAAAATAAAAAGCAAGGCACTTTATTCACTGTGTGATATATGATGATGAGCGAGAGATTCAAATGTACCTTGTCCACACTTGTCACAAATCACAATCTCATTGGGTTCCTCTGAAGTTTCATCCTGGCATATGGAGCACACAATGTCGTCGTCCTCATCGTCCTCATCATCTTCATCCCCTGATGAGGACATCAGAAGTGGAAATATTTAGTCAGAACTCTTTGACAAGCAGCTGTGTTACAGCCTGGAGTAAAGACAAGCCAGAGACTTAGAAGTGTTTTAACAGTATTGATGCATTCAGATCATCAATTCTAAATTGGAATTTTAACAGAATTCCCTCAACCTCAAAAGGACTTTCAACAGCACAAAAAGTCATTTGGCATACACAGGAAAGTGTGTAGGCCCAGAAGAGTTAGTGGCTATTTCTTGTTGCTAATGATGGCATGGTGGGTGCAGAAGACGTTATGGACCAGGTAATATTTGGCTTACTTGATACTTGGCCCTATTATTGAGCCTCAACATGGCAGAAGAAACTGAGGCTGCTCACACAAATATACATAATAGCACATGATGCATACAAGAAAGTATTGCTCTAATTTAATTCATGTTGTACATCCTCAAAATGTGTTGAAAGTTTTCCTTTAATACTAGGTTGTTGGTTCATGCATTTTTGAAAGTACATTTATTCATGATCTCTGATAGGGCAGGGCAAAAGAAAAACAAGGCTTTTAACTGTCATTAACTTCTAACATCAGCACTACAACACTGTGAACATGCAGCATGTACATTGTCATTGATGCTGTATTGTTGCCAGACACCGGGGGACGGTTAACTGCCAGCAACAGGAGTAATGAGATAAGCCAGAGGAAGGCAGTCAGGGGTGTGGAAAGCACTATGCTCTCCAAAAATTCAAGCAAATACTTTATCAAAATGTAAAGGAAACACATTTCAGATGCTGCCAGGCAATAGATGATTACTTACAATTTGCAAATAATCATGGTCTTCATTCAATAACAAAGACCCAGATATTCCAGAAACATGAACATGTTCAAGTTGTCTGGTCTTACCTGTCTGAATGTCCTTCCACAGCACCCAAGACTTCGACTGATCCTCAAAAACCACAAAGCATCGCTGCTTATCCAGATCTATCTGAAGGAGTAAAAGAAATACATTGAGCTTTCCTAAACATCACAGTGTTTTAAAGCCTTATTACAGGCATCTCACATCAAAAACAATGAACGGAAAATGCAACGCAAAACACAAGATCAAACATTTAAGTCACAACTTCGAATTTAGAATATGGTACTACAAGGCCTTTTTGCATCCTATGACTTAATCTGCTCAGTGTCAATTGAATGTTTCTAAAAATAGTTAAAAATAAATTAAATAATTAAATAATAAAAAGCCAAACATCTCTTGACCTGAAGGCCCTCAACAGTGTTAATCCAGTGGGCAGTTTGACCATGCCAGAAGTCCTATCAAGGGTGCCAAATTCCAGCTTTTTGCCTAATTATCCTTCGGATCAGAAGTACTGTGACTGAAGGCTCATAGTACCAAAATGACTATCCCTCTCACACTAACCTTTGTGATAGTCCCCAAGTAGAATAATCCATCTGACCATCGGGCCAAGACGTCCTGTCCCTCTGTAAACCTGTCAGACATGCTGTCCTCTCCATACTCTCCCCTCAAAGAGAGGCGAGTGGGGGACAAGGACGGGGCCTGCTGCTGCTGTGGTTGAGCTCTGTGATGGACAGACAGGTGATCCACAACCCCTGAGTCTCTGGAAAAACAGGTAGAAAGGATAAGAAAACCGCAGGTACAGACATGTATTTACAAAAGCATGGATACAAAGTTAAATTCAGAATAACTGCAACAAGAGCATTTTCTCCACAGTAACTTTCCCAATGGACTGGGGTCTTTTCACCAACAACATAAAACTATCAGTTTTTCCACACAATCCTCTGGGCTTTTATAAACAGTAGCAGTGAAATGACTTTGTTACAGATACCAGCTAAAAAGTATCATAATTCAACCTTATACCTGTGCATTCCTACTCAAACACCGTCCTGCATGTCTTAAAATAATGTTTAATACAAAGTGCACGATGTATGGTTTTACATAAGGTTTTAAAACAATGGCTGACCATGCACATGCCATTTCCGCTCCACTGGACACAAACAACAGGTGATTATGCTCATGATTAGTGCTAATTGGTCATTAACTACAAGCCACGCAGTCATTAAAATGCACAAGATAACCTGTCAAATACAAAATTAAAAAGGCAAAAGTAACAATCAATCTCCAACAGCTTCATATAAACTAATTAAAAAATTGTGAGTGACAGTTTTAATAGAAAGTCAGTATTTGGTATTGTTACGTTTAGCTGCACAGTGGAAGTACTGAAGCCATGTTATTCATGATATTTGACTTGTTGGTGCTCTTTTAGCCCCCTGCCCGTCAGTGTGGGACTCCCTTTGTTCGGGTAGTGAGTGAGCCTCGTCATTACTCGTCACTTCAGATGAAGGTGCACTAAAGATAACACAAACAAGTCAAATTCATTATATTAGAAACAACGAGCAGACAAGGCAGGCTGTAAAGTGTTCATAATCCTGTTCTTTATGCAGAGCCGCTGACTCCGGACAGGTCGCCCCCCCCTCACCCCCCTCTCACCCCCCCCCCCTCCACGGGACGAAAACATCATGACAACAATACCTCATTCGGTCACCTCCGCTTTTACAGATGACCCGCACAACAAAAAAATAAAAGGTTTATGGGTGTCCGCTGTTTTCCCGTTTCTTCCGTGGCTACGTGTTATTTCAAAGTGTATCGCGGAAACTAGCGGAGCTGCTGCCTCTCTCAGAAAATAACAAACGGTTCATTTTCCCCCAACACGTTCGCCATTTTGGTTTCCCGCTGATGATCCGCTGATGCATTGTGGGAACACGCCTGCTGCTCCGTTCATCTTTTTTTTTTTTTTCAAACATTCAAAATTGTAGGCAGGGCATTTACTGAGGAGTTTATATCCGCCCCTTAAAGTAGTATAGTACTTTATATTATGACCTCTTACCGTCAAACATGCCGTATTTCTGCGTCTCTGTTAGTGTGGATTATGCCCACACGTTATTAGCATTATCACGTAACTGCGTGACATTGCTGCAAATGCCGCTTTTATTTATTATTTTATTTATTATTTTATTTATTTATTTTTCGGTAAAGTTGACAAAGTGTGTGCTACAACATCAGGAGGAGATGTTTACAGGTCAGTTTAGTGTTTAGGGTGTTCTGACCGGAAGTACTATTCACCTTCTACCGCCTCTTTTATTTTTCTAAAGGTGTGCAAAGGAAATGTGCACATCAAGAATTACGTGCATCTCGCGGGAGCGCGCACCGCTCACTGCTCATTGATCCATGGTAATATCGAGTTATAAAAACGATATATCTTCTTTTTTGGGGGGATTGATCAATAATGACACCTAATCCGACGTCTAGAAACGTTTTGAAACACTTTGTGACATTTAGATTTTTTCAAAGACTCAACATATATAGTTTTTTTTTTTTAAATGTTGGATGTAGCTAATCTTGGTTTTAAATGCAATAAAAAACAAACTTTATAAATTCAATTGAACTACCTGAGCTACTCGGAGCTGGATGGTTAATCGTTTTTTTTGGGGGGGGGGGGGGGGCCTGGCTGGCATATATCAACACATTGGAGGAGGCTTTGCTTAATAGAGGGTTTTCAGTTTTGCAGGTTTAAAAAATCAGGAATAAATCTGATCCAACTTTCTATTACTTACTAAGTAAACATATGTTAATAAAACAAATGGAAATAATGTTCCCATGTGGATTAATTAGTCTGTGGGTATGTTTTTATATTACTAAAATTATAATTCTACAGTTTTTTCCGCATAAAAAAAACAGGATTTTTAACTCAAAAACATAGAAAGCTTCTCCTGCTGAGTCTATAAAGATAAGAGAAGATAAGATATGTTTATTGTCACTGTACAAGTACAACGAAATATTGTTGGAGCAAGCCTGCAGATGCCTAATATCAGAAATATACAAATACTAAAACCAAATATTCAAATAAGAAATACGATTAAATAATACGATATAGTATACAATAAACAATTAATTTGCAAGTGACAGGTATAGAATAAATACATTGCACTTAGTTATACAGGACTCCAGTGGGTATTTTGTGAGTCGGGGTCGGCTCTGAGTCCAGAGAGTGGGAGCTTCAGTGTGGTGCAGAGATTTCACAATTTAACACAGTGTTTGTAAATTACAGAAATACGATTATTTCCCATCACCGACCAAACCCTCACCCCTTTTGTTTTTAAAACATATATTGCCGTAGATAGCACGATCATGAGGTGCGCAAGTGGGAATGGTTTTCTCTGCCCGACAACCGGAAGTCGGTGTACCTCACGCTTGCTAACTTCGGAGTGAGATAACCACACAATATTTAAAATGAATTGTTTATTGAGCGTAAACCACCAGTCACTTATTTTGTCAGTATTGTCAAGTGCCTGAAATAAAAAATAAAAAAACTATCTTTCTAAACGTACAATTTACGCATGCGCTGTGATCGTCCTTTTTTTTTTTCAGCTTGAGGAGGTATGTTGCCTGGGTTGAAAATCGGCAGCTGCTGCAAAGAGCTGAGGCGAAGTGCAATGTGACCGATTCATAGGAGCTAAACAGAACGACAATCCGGGATCGTAGTGGATCATAGTGAGGTTGAGGTCTGCAAACATGAAGTCATTTCCTCTGGCTCTGTAAACCTCTTGGTTTTATGTGGCAGACGCTTAACCCCCCGTGTGTTTAGGATGATCTCCCGCAGCCAGGTCCACGTATTGAGATGATCTATTTCTGTGATGGCGAAGGGTCTGTTTCCTCGGGCCTGGGTGAAAAAGTCTTTCTACTTCCAGGTAATGTTATTGCTCGATAGTTTATCATTAAAGGGAATTAATTCCACATACTACTTGTCAAAACTGACTGTTGTCCTGTGTATACTGGGGAGGGGTGAAGGGGAGGGGGGTCCTCATGGTGTCACATCATACTGACAAGTGGCTGTTAACATGTACCTGGTCAGGCTGCTGTCATAGCTATCATATCATGTGCAAATTGAAAATACCTGAGGAATGTGACTGCTGATGGAAGATTAAGTAGAAAGTGTCTCTGCTGGTCCACAATGGTTATGAAAGAGCAGACTACAAGCCCCCTACCACTAAGTGTGCGTACAAAATGTGAAGAGAGATTGGTAAACCATGCCAGGCTATATCTCCAAGGGCCGGGAAGTATAGTCTCTTCATCTCACTTAATTAGAAGTTTTTTTTCTCTTAATCATTAGGCTGAAAAAAGATAGTCTTTCATTTGAGGAACACAGCTGTTTTACGACACCAGTTGTGCCACAGCAGCATTAATACTTGGTATTATGCAATATACAGATAATATGCAATATACAGATAATATGCAATATACAGCAGCATTAATACCAAGTATTAATGCTGCTGTATATTGCATATTATCTTATTGGTTCAGCCAATAAGATAATATGGTTGAACCTCCTGATCTGGATACCAGTGGCTTGCAGCCAGATACTACTCACAGTACAGACAGGATTTAATACAGGGTGCTAAAGGCTCTAGGAAGAGTAAATATATTGCTTCATTATGAATAGCATTGTGAATTTATCACAGCTGTGCGTAGATTACAGTCTGCTGGCTAAAGTCCTCTGACAGTGTAATGTTCAGGAGGTGTATTGTAATGGCCAAGCTAATTTAATCACTTTGGGTAATATTTAACTTCGCTGGCCAATGTTTCCTGGGACCTCTAGGACTGGTTTACACATTTAGGCTGCACTTCATCCTGTCCTTGTTAAAATAGCTCCCTCCCCATATGACCCACACTAAAACTTATACAAACAACACTGTGTGCATGAGAGGTTTCTTGTTGTGTTCTCTTTAGGAGTAAGCAAAGGTCATATCTGGTGTATGTTTACGAGTACTGTGTTGTGTACTCAGGGATCCTTAGTGCTCTTGTTTTGGTAAAGAGTTTGTATTGTAAGGAGAGAGGACAGTTCTTCCAAATAAATGTTTTGGGCTTGAATGAACGTGGACTTTTTTATTTGAACCGAAAAAGACTTTACATCAGTATGAACAAACAGATACGGAGAAGTCTGCTTTCTTATACAAAAACTGCATTTGCTTTCCTGTAAAAAGCAAAATAATAGAATTTCTAAATATCCTCAAGCATTGTTTCCGCTTAATTAGTTCTGTAAACAAGTTTCAAGTCTCTCTGTTCTCGGTTGCAGAGTCAGAGTCATTTGGATGACTTTGCATGCATTAAATCAGGAACAGAGAGAGTGTGAGTGATGATGGAAAGGGGTCACAGGTCGGATTTGAACCCAAGCCACATCCAGGTAACTCGGTGAACCTGTTTCTGGGAGTATTCCATTCGTTGAAGTAATACCTAAATATCCACTGAAGAAGAACACACTTTTTTTTCATTTTTTTTTTCATTTCAAAAACGCTTTGAAGATCAAAACACCATATGAAACAAACTTTCATATTTTGCATTCTGTCTGTTCGGTCTCTTTGATACCAACACCACACTTTTCAGTTCTGTAGTCTTAGGCAGGTATTCATGAATCTGTATCCAGTTTGGGATGGTTTAAAATCTATCATGGGTGCAGTGGTCTACTTGGTCGGTGACATCTGGACTGCTTACAAGATGACAAACTGACGAGGACAGCCCATCCTGTCCTGAGGAGTTCTGAGGACTGTAGAGGAAGGAGGAGATAAAATGGTGGCCATTGTGGCTCACCGCTCCAAATCCTAACATGTGTATGAAAATCGTCTACTGTTGGACTCCATAAGCAGCCAACACTTGATGAGAGTCAAGTACATCACACTGTGTAACTGTATCAGAGCGTTGACAGCTGGGAACCCTACAGTCTGCACTCCAGGGTTTTGTACTGTGTGACTGCAGTTTGTGCAGCTTCCCTGCCTGTGCCACTCATGACCCACTCACCATCTGAGCAGTAGCACATAAAACCAAACAGAGCTGTGTAAGAGTGTATACATCTTTATGTCATATTAAGCATTTTCATAAGGTGGAATACGTTCTTTTCAACCTTATTCCATTTTAGTTTAGTATCTTTTAACACAGTTCAACGTTTAAGGCCATTTGCAACCATTTCAACATTTTCTTAATGATGTAAATACATTTACAGACACAACAGTTGCTTATATAAACAAGGATAAAGTCCTTTCACTTTCATGTTTCACTTCTTCATCTCCTAGGCCTCATCGTGTGTCTGCAGGGAAAGAGAATGTGCTGCCTGTGTGTGTTTCCATGCATGTTTTCTATGCACAGTTCCGACAGCGTTAGACATGCAGATAGGAGGAGTCAGATCTGATAGTGGTGTGTAGCTGCTTTCTACTCCCCTGATACCTCCTCTTCCCTCCCTGGAGGCCCAACTATCTGTTTGTTCATCTCTGCAGGACGCTGAGAGTTTGAAATCCAGGCAGCTTTTTCCAGAGGAGACTACATCTCTAACATAAAGCTGCTGAACCTTTTGATACTTTGGTGAAATGCACCGGAGGGAAAACAAGGGGGATGGACTATTGTGGTTTTCCTGTGTCTCTTGTGTCCCTTTGCGGATCTGTGAACCTCACATATGGGGATATGTGTTGCAATATCTTGTGTGAGAAAATTCTATCCAATTAAACCCAAGACCTCACTATGATTTTTTTATTTTATTTTTTATCTTATGTGCAAAACCCACAAAGAAGTCACATGCTTTAATCCTAAATAGACTCCTAGATTAGACTGTGTCTACAAATAAAAGTAATATCAGCACATCAAAGATAATACAAGAAGACGACTCTCTTTTGCTCGGTCCCTGCCTCGCTTGGGTGCATGTTGGGATTTTGG